TTAATCCCCCAGCCAGAATCATCAGGAAGCAATAAAACAGGCTCAACATGTAATATTGAAGATGCCAGCATTATTTGCTGAACAGGATTTATTTGCATGTAAACTGGGGTGGTCAGAAGCTCACAGATTTGGACTTCAAGAAAATTTGGGGTAAAGGGGAGTCTGAGGACATGAAAGTGGTGAAAAAATAGGGTGTGTGTGTGAAGGGTTCTGCTGCAACTCTTTACTAGCGGCAACAGTGGTAGAGATGGTGTTCCTTTCTTCCCACAGCACCCCTTGGAATAGTGCAGTCATGTGACCTGTTATTGTTCCATGGGCAATGAAATGTGGTGGCAGGTAGTGGTTCAGCTAGTAAGAGCACTTGTGTGTTCCACACAGTCCACATTTGAAATTCCCCCAGATAATAGCCAAAATTCTCCCCCCCCCGAAACTCTTGTAGCACTATTATAATAGGACGATGGCAGTGATTGGGGGTGGAGACTTTTGCAGTGTTCTGAATTTCTGCAGAATTTTTTCCCCTTTTCATAAATTCATTAGCAAAATTAATAGATGCCAATTTCAAATACAGTATCAGTTTTTATCTTTGTTTACTAAATACCAGCAAAATAAACATGTTAAATTACATCGCTCTCTAAGGCATCAGAAAATATTCCCATACAAGCTGAAGGTTTTCCGATGCCGATGCACATTACCCTATGGAAATTGCCCTAATTTGCACTGGAGATTTTTCTCTCTACAAGGGGCTTATCAATAGCAGACCATCAGCTGATCTCCAATGGGGTCTTGCAGAACCCTTTGATGGGAACTTTGAAGGCTGTGCCTTTGATGGCACAGCTATATGGCAAACCATGTGGGCAAAAAAGAATCAGCTGACCGCCCTATCAAATCTGGTGGTTGACAGGTGGATAACCTCACCCAACAGTCAAATATGGCTGACAGGGATGGGGGAGGTCATGAAAGGTCCCACCAGTTAGAGACCTAGACAATCGCACACACTACATGTAAACTCATTGTTCTGGGTGCATGAGAGAACAGAATTCCAAGACCTCTGTTTACAAAATCTTTAGGAAAGTCAAATGTTTCATACTCTTGCTAATTCTCTCTCCCCCCCCCCCCATTCAAGTTAAAATGCTTAAATGTGCCTTTTAACAACCAAGGGATCTTCCTATCCCAGATAAGAGGAACAAATATAACACTGGGCACATTAGCAGATGCAATTTTCAATTATATGAATTTGTCCTGCATTGTTTATAATAATACATTTATTGCAGGCCTCTCATACAAATGGTTAAGGAAGGAGTGATTGAATATTTAAAGCTTCCCAGAAAAAAAGAGAGAAAGAGAGAAACCAAACACTGAAAGAATATAAATGAGTCACTGAAAAAAATGTTATGAAATTCATCATGTTATGTTAAAATATGATACCTAATCATTTACAGGAAATTAGTGAAAAGATTGACTGGCAAAAGAAAACACCTAATCAGAATGCCTTCATTCATTCCTTGTTGCAGGGTGATATGGGATGAGTGAGCAGAGAAGAAAGATAAGTCAAGAAGGACCTGGGAAAAGAAGAGGTCAAGAACAAAAAGGAACAACAAAAATAAAATAGGGGCTCAGGGCTAGAGAGACTAAATCGCAGAAACATTTTTCCCTTAAAAAAATAACACATAGACAGTTTCCATAACACTTCCTTAGCACAATAAACTTCAATTATCCTCTTTCAAAGAAGAAGCTAGAAGGGTGAGAAGAATACATATAACTGAAGAAATCAAAATGAGAGGTTGTCATTAATATGAGCCAAGCCATGTGTTGAGTTGACCAGTTAAAGCAAACAGAGAGTCTGGGTCAGTTCTCCTGATTGATCTTTCAATATAAGCATTGTTACTGAGATTATTGTTCTTATGAATGTGATTCACAGCCTGTTAGTCAACTAGCCAGCCAACTCCGGAGAATACTCCACTTGCCAATTTCTATTAGAATGTCAAATGTATTAACTGTGTGACATGGAACATGTTTTATACATGTGGGAGTGGTGATATAGGGAGAATCAAATTGACTTTGGCATCTATGGCAAAGTTGCCTTAAAGGATGAAGCAGATTTTTATGATGTTCCCAATCATATTCCACTGAACCTAATCCCCACCTGAAATATACTATAAGCTGTTAAGAGCTTGAGCAGGTCAGTTTTCTTCCTGTTCTGTCTATTTTTCCTTTCCTTTCTTTTCAAATTACAAATGAATATACTTCTGCATACTAAGGAGTCCCTCAAATACGTAGAAATCCCCTTATATTTGGCTGTTCCTCCATCACTTTCAAACTAAGGGCACAAAATTGTTGTTTTCCCTCTTGTATATTTTTAGCTCATTGCCCTTACCATAGTTTCAATCAGAAGACTCATTGCCCCCACCATGCCTGTTGTTTGTATGCAAGACAACATAAATCAATTTCTACTTCAAAAAATAGTAACTTAAAACAAAAGCTGTCAAGTGACTATGCAGATGCATAGGAATATTGAATGCTAAGAGTGGTTCAAACAGAAATAGCCTCTTTAGTATTACTTTGTTTGTTTATTCCATCTATTTCTGTACCACCTAACTTACAAGAGAACAAAGACCTTCTTAAATAAAGTGAAATTTACAAAAGACAGAACCAGGAACATCAGCCAGTGACATTCTTAATATTCCCCCTCCTTTCCCCCCTCCCCAGTATAAAGTGACACGCTACAATTCTAAGCAAATATGGTATGTCTGGAAGATCAGACTGTACAAAAATCTCCTGTGACTATTCAGGATTGGATAGAAATTCAATTCAGTATGCATGGCAGGGATAGTACCTGTGGTGGGGGACACATTGCGCTCCTTCTAAGGTACCTTTGGTCCCTACCCTGCACACAGCTCTCATCTGTGGCTCCTAGAAGCTGTCAGCATGTGACAATGGCCACATCGTTGGGATGGCTTCAACTGGCTGGCTAAGGGCAGCCAATGGGTCTCAAACCCTCAATGAGTTAGGGACTTCCTCTGCATGTGAAGACAGGCTCTGGCAGATTGAGTGGTTGAGACTAATAGTGGGTCCATTGGTTAAGAAGGTAGTTTCTGCACAAGCTGCACAGGGAAGTGAGGGACAGATGGGGATTGCCAACTTGGGAATGTAGCCCTTCTAGGGCAATAGTGTGACTGCCACACAATAGTGTGACTGCCATTGACTCCAAGTAGCACATCTGTGCTGGCAGAGACTGATGGGCACTGTAGTTCAAATTATTTGAGGGCACCAGGTTGGGGGAGGCTGTGGTAAAGCAGTTTCCCTGCTTTCATACCTCCCTACCCTCCCTCTGCCATCTGATCCTTTCTGCTCATCCTCAGAAGCTTTAAATAGTCAAAACTATTTCCAAGGCAAGTTTGAGCTTGCCCTTAAACACTCCAGGAATAATCCTTGAGAGTTTGCTCAAATGTGTGTATCTATCCCTGTAACAACATATCCCAGAGCTGGCCCTGACTGCGGTCACTCATAAAGAACTGAAATGCCATTCCCAATAGATGAGAGGGTGGCATATAACAGGGGCCCCAACATCCTGGCACTGGCGCCATTGTTTTGTCTCCCAGAGCTATCTATGTGCATAGTGAAGCTTGTTTCAGCAAAACCTAACTGAAAGCCTGCCATCCAAAAAGAACACAGAGATCCACTGTGATCTGGAGGTGAACCAAACTGTTTATTTCCATGTATGATGATTTCATCTATCTAATACATTTGTACAGCTTCAGAAATGCCAAGGATCTATTCTCAGAGGTGTGGAGTGCCTTCGTAGAACATTTTAAGTAGTGGTTCATTCTGAAGGTGCAGTTGGGTGCTGATGGGGGGGGGGGAGAGCATTGCATATAAAATCCAGGTATTTAAAATTACATTCCACTAAAATATGAAGCTCTACAGCCAGGTTCAGCTCTACAACCTGTTGCCACAGGTGTCAAAGACACTGTCCAATGGCAGTGGCAGCGTGCAGCTGCAAGATACCTTTTTTAAATAGGAAAATGTGGTTAAAAGTGGTCCAAATGTGACTGTTTTAAATGAAGAAACGTCTGCTATCACATAGTTCAGTACACTTTGGCATGATACACAGCACCCAACTGAATACTGTGTGCAGTCAGACCAGGATCCTCAGATTCTGTTCCATATGTGCTAAAAGAAGAAAAAAAGCAAAAATGAAATCTGGCCTACATTCAATAAACTGAGTGGGAACATCCACACTTCCATTGCTGATCCTCATAGGCTAGAATTACAGTAAGGAAGTTGGAGAGTTATTCTCTAAGGCCACACCCACACCATGCATTTAAAGCAGTACCACACTACTTTAAACTGTCATGCCACCTTGCCTCCCCACCCCACCCCAAATCTTTGGAACTATAGTTTGTTAAAGGTCCTCCACACACAGCGCTACAATTTTGAGAGTGAGCATAAGAAGAGCCTGCAGGACCAGGCCAATGGGCCGTCTAGTCCAGCATCCTGTTGTCCCAATGGCCAGCCAGATGCCTGTGGGAAACCACAAGCAGGATACAAGCACAAGAGCCCTCTCGTCCCCTGCAGCTTCCAGTAACAGGTATTCAGGAGCATAAATCATGTGTTGCTAATTGCAGGGTAGGGGAGAGGAACACCTGAACAGAGCTTGTATGCTTTTGTGAAGCATTTTACTACAGGACACCTGGGCTCCTGTGCACTGGTAAAACAACCCAGCCCAAAAATCTAGAGAGAATTTTGGATGAGCATTTTGGAACCACCACAAAGTCAGAGCACTATCCTCTGAATTGTATCCTGGTACTTGTCGTCTTCCCTTCAACAGAGAAAGGAGTCATGGTTGCACCCTTTGAAAGCAATGGAATCAGAGAAAGGAAAATCCTCTCCTTAAGGTCCCTGAAGCTGCAGGTGTTAGCAGCAGGCTTTCCCAAAGATAGCATGACACAGCCAAGTAAATGATTACATGTGGTATTATGATAAAACTTCCTTTGCTGATAATTTAGTTCCTGTTTAACTGTCCTGATATCCTACAAGCTGGCTTGAGCAAACTGCTTCTCATCGTCCTTGCCCCATTTGCCCTCCCTCTTCATTCAGATGCACAGTGAGATGTTTGGGAAACCTGCAGAGCACAACAGAAACATCTGTAAGATTGGTCCTGATTAAATTACCGTAAGTTGCAACCACATCCTAAAACTGACAACTGGATTCGCCCTGGGTTTGGGCTCCAGGGAAGAGACAAACCATTGCGATGGGTTTTGCCTTCAAATTCCACTTTTCCCTAGCTTTGGAAAACAAACCATTTCCCTTGTTATAATTTAAGGGTCAAATGAAGGGAGGAAGAGGCAGGAAGAATCTCTAAAGTGTACAAAGGTACCTTCCAGCATATTACCAGCAGGGGTCATGCATGTGACGGCATCAATTCAGGTAACACAACTGACAAGTCCTATCTGTTTGACAACAGGAAAAGCTTTTGGTGATCTAGCTGATCTCTTCCCATACAAAGCTTTTCCTCTTAACCCTCCATATACCATTCCCATTTGTGCCTGTTTTAGCAGAGCACAGAGAGTTCAAAGAACTGCCCCTGTCGGTGATGTGCTAGGTGGCGGGAGGTAGGGACTGGGAAAGAGGAGGAAAGGCCTGCCTCACCCCCTCTCCCAGTGTGTGGGTGGGTTTTTTTGCTTTTTACGGTGCCAATTAACGGCAAGCTGGGGTAGGTGGGAGGTCAGTGCAAGAAGCCTCCCTTCTGCCCCCCACCACACCGCGTGTCATCGTCTTTCAAGCATCTGCCAACTCAGTTTGGTCGGTGGAAGGGAAAAGGCCGGGCAGTTTGTTTGGTTTTCTTTTCTTCGTGGGCACTTTACTACTTCAAAAGGCTCGCCTTTGGTTCACAGGGGCCAGAGGGCAAAGGTCAATGGGCACAGCTTGACCTCTCTTTCACCCACCAAAGAGGAAAAGGACGGGAAGAGACACTTTTCTACTTTAATCTTTCTTCTGCCTCCCATTGTTCCTCAAAGATTTGTGGAGGGAAACAATGGGCTCCTTATAAGCTCACACTTCCACACGGAATATACTGAAGGAGTAAATAGAACACACACGAATTCCACCTGAAGGAGAAAGGAGAAAGGAAGGGGGTTCCCACCCCCCACCCCCGCATTGGAATGTAACAAATATGTTGATGTCTTTCAGAAGCAGTTGTTTTATTTTGTATTTGAAACACACACACACACACACACACACACACACACACACGTCTCTCTCTCTCTCTCTCTCTCTCTCTCTCTCTGTGTGTGTGTGTGTGTGTGTGTGTAAAAACACTCACTAGCCCTAGGGTATTGAGGAGTAAGTTAACATTTCACAAAGCTCTCCACAGCTGGTGATTATATCCCTTGCAATGTGTACAAAGACATTCAGAAAAGGAGCAGAGAAAGTAAACAGTATCACTTCTGGGGAAGATTTGGGGGTGGGGGGGAAGGAGGAGGAGAAGCAGATGAAATTTAATCTGGCAGGCAGCCCAGCCACCAACTTAAAACAATACAGAGAAGGGAAGCCAAAGAGGAAAGAAAAACAGAGGGGAAAGTGTGGAGAGACCAGCGTGTGCAAAGGGAGGCGGGGAGCCCTCCACAAAGGTTTCAGGAATCTTTGGGGGCCACTAAATAGCAGATTAGATTGCAGGACTAGGCTTCAGGGGGCTAAATTCCTGCCTCATTATATAATGTGTGTGTGAGCATTCTTAATTGAATTGGCAGAGCCCCCAGCTGTTTACCTCTCATTGGAAAAAATGAGAGGAAGGCACCGGGCCTTGAAAAAGGCAGACACAAAGTCGTGGCTTTGGCATCCGAGAAAACAAAGCAGAAAATAGCATTGTGTTGGCTTCAAGCTTTGCCGTTTTGTTTTAGAACTAGTTTGCACTTAACGACTTGGATGTAACTGCTGTGTTAAGACATTTTAACATGATGCTTACCTACAGCATCTGCATGAGGCACAGCTGGGCATAGGTGTTGTCCCTGGTCATGCTGAAAGGCTATTGCAGACTGAAAGGAGATTAACAGGATGGTCACGCCTGCTACTGCCACCCCAGGGTTAGCTTAGTTGTGATCTTACCAGCAGCTAAGTCAGAAGCACAATGACAGCTACTGAAACAAGTGTCAGCCTAGCAACACTGACAGACCCTTCCAAGTTAGCCCAAGTAGCCCAGGAGGCCTGTTGCAGATGATGTTCCCAAATTAGCCATGCAGGAGAGTCACCAATTAGGGTGACCACTTAGGCATTGCTCCAAATGAAGAAATTCCTCATCAAAAAGAAGGCACAAATGTGCACAGCATTGACATATGATAAATTATATGTAGTAGATGCAAATTTAGAAGTAATTTAGAAGTAATTACTATAAATGAATACTATAAATTTAGAAGTAATTACTATAAATGAAATAGAAATGAAATATATTTCACCACTCTGGAGAAAACTGTGACTAGGTGGCCTGTGTGCCTCTCAACCTGCTGTTCAGGCGAGTAAGAGGGGACATGGTAGAAGTTTATAAAACTATGCATGCCATTGGGAAAGTGGATTGAGAAAAGTTTTTCTTCCACTTGCATAACGCTAGAACTCATGGGCACCTACTGAAGTTGAATGTTGGAAGATTCAGGAGAGAGAAAATGAAGTACTTCACGCACACACTCCCACAGGAGGCAGTGATGGCCACCAACTTGGATGGCTTTAAAAGATTAGACAAATTCATGGAGGACAAGGCCGCCAATCACGATGGCTATGCTCTGCCTCCATGGTCAGAGGCAGAATGCTTCTGAATACCAGTTGCTGGAAACCATAGAAGGGGAGAGTGCTCTTGTGCTCAGGCCCTGCTTGCAGCTTCTGGTTGGCCCCTCTAATAACAGCATGATGGGCTACATGCGCCATTGGCCTGATCCAGCAGGCTGCTCTTACATTCTTATGCGAGTGATTAAACTTGGGGTGTCTGTATTAATTTTCCTACTTAACTGCAGGTGTTTTTTGTGTGAATCTGAATGTAGTACTTAACTGCAACGCATCATCAGCAAATTATATGATTTGTTGTTATCTGGCAGGGTTACATTTTCAAAAGGGCTCTTGATTAATTCAAAATGGATTCTATTGAAACCCTGTCCCATTATCATAAGTGGAACAAGGATGATAGCATTTAATTTCTCATAGGGATTCTCTGTCTGGAATCCTGTGCTTGGTTACCCGAAAGTCAGCTCCACTGAACTCAATGGAACCTATTTCAAAGTAGATATATGTAGGACTGCATTGTTGGTATATGAAATGTAGAAGACAGTGATAAATTGGACTATTGACCTGAAAAACACAATGCAGCGACCTAAAATCAACAAATATTCTGTTATGGTGGTGTTTTATAGACTTTATTTGTGGATACAAACTAAATATTTACCATTGCCCTGCTGGCCCAGTAAGTTTTAAATGGCTCTTCAAGAAATCTTAACTCCTCCTCCATTCCCAACAATGCAGATGGGAGAGATGGGGCCTCTAGCTTACTGGAACTTTGCTCACCTTCCAAGATGGGTCTTGCTCATCAGAAGCCTACCAGGTCATGGTGACCCTGATCTCAGTAATGTAGTCTGAGTCATCATAGCAATGGGAACAGGAGGAGGGAGAGCTGCCATGTTTTTAGATTATCCATCCTCACTAGAAAAAAAACCCAAAATACTTAAAAATAAAAAGTATGCAAACTTCACCCAAAAAAGGTGAAGGGATTATACCAAGCAATATACCCCTTTAATTCATTAGGTACCTCAGCCCTCCTTCCCACCCTTTACAATGATTGTCTTAAGTTTCACATATGGTAAGTAGAAAGTGGTGGTTGCTTTATATTGCTCCCATGCTGCCCCTCACCAAGCACTGTGCAGACCACTCCTGAAGAAATCCTTATTGAACCCAGAGGATTATAACTACTGATGGCAAGTGACAGGTGTCCTTTTTTTGGGTAACTTGTTGGGAGCAAGTGGTTACTGGTCAACCCAAAGACCTAGTAGATGAAACTGATTGGATTGACTTCAACTTGGATTCTGGCCCAGATTTGAACCTGGAATGTCATTGGTTGCCAAAATGAATTACATACAGTGGGAGAGACAGGAAGAATACAACCCCGTTGGTTCTGTTAGATCTCTTGGCAGTATTTGATACCATTGGCAAAGTTTTGTCTCCCAACTTAAAACTCTGTGGGTTGGAGATTGCAAGCACTGTTTTGGGTGGCTCCATTTTTACCCTGAGGACTCATTCCAGGAGGTGGCATTCAGCTCCATGCTATCTAGTTTGGGGGTCCCTTGGTGATCCAGGGTTTTAAAGGATTTTAAAGGGTTGCCCTCTGCTGCAGAATATTACCATACTTTATATCTGAAAAGTTGATCTCTTGCACTTGTCCTGCCATTGTACTTATTATTTCTTGTTGTAGAATACCACAGAACTTGCAGCAGTATTCACTGATTCATCCTCAGGACTTTTCCACAGATTATCCTGGCCACACAGTTTTGTTTTGTTTTTTAATGCATACCATCAGCATGGAATTTTCAAAAGGCCGAGACTTTAATCTCATTTCGATATGACCACTGTGAACTGGGCCTCCAAGACCTCTCTTTAGGCTTAGGTAGCCTTGACCTTTGAACTCATTGGACCAACATATCATGAGCTTGACTTTCAAAGACATTGCAGCAGAGGGAAAATTCTGAATTTGGGATATATTGCATGCACACTTTTCCGCCTGGAAGCCAACTGGCCACTGGGCTTTGCACATAAATAAAGGTGAATCTGCTTCACTCATGAATCTGCTACAAGTGATTCCCAGGGCAAGAGAAGATGAAAGATCTGCAGCTTTGATCTCTTAAGCTAAGGCTGTAAATTAAGGCTTTTCTTCCATGGCAGGGCCAATTTAAATGGGCGGGAATAGCATATCTTGCTCTCTTATCTTGGGCTGGTTGCATCCAGTTTCAGGAATGAAAAAAATGCATGTTCAACTGCCCTCATATGTCTATATTCTCTTTTTGGAGGACAGAGCACTGATTAATACCTCTAGATGGCTCTCCACCTACTGCCTATTTCCCTGTCTTTGCTGCCCGTTACATTAATACAGATCTGTTGGGTTGGGCAACAGAAGCACCCACACTTTGACCCACACCAGCTTTGCTGCCACGCCTTGCCCTCTCCTCCAGGGCTCTGCATAGCACACAGCTATTCTAGTGGTGGGCAGGCAGATGTGCCACCTCTGAATAGGAGAAGAAAATATACCACAGATGTTTTGGGAATATGTGCACTGAAACTGTGTGTTTAGGCACCCTGCTGAGAGCCAGCTGAAGTCTGGCACCAGCCCTGCATTCTTAGATTGTGTTCACTACCCACAGCTTGGTCCAAATTCACTGAAGGTAAGACGAAGTCTTCCACCCTTGCGACCAACTAAGGATCAAGCCCTAAGCACATACATTAGAGGGACACGGGTGGCGCTGTGGTCTAAACCACTGAGCCTCTTGGGCTTTGCCAATTGGAAGGTCAGTGGTTCGAATCCCTGCAATGGAGTGAGCTCTCGTTGCTCTGTCCCAGCTCCTGCCAACCTAGCAGTTCAAAAGCATGCCAGTGCAAGTAGATAAATAGGTAGAGTGGTACCTCTGGTTAAGAACTTAATTCGTTCTGGAGGTTTGTTCTTAACCTGAAACTGTTCTTAACCTGAGCTACCACTTTAGCTAATGGGGCCTCCCGCTGCCACTGCACCGCCGCCACGCAATTTCTGTTCTCATCCTGAAGCAAAGTTCTTAACCCGAGGTACTATTTCTGGGTTAGCGGAGTCTGTAACCTGAAGCATCTGTAACCCGAGGTACCACTGTATTGCTGTGGCAGGAAGGTAAACAGTGTTTCTGTGCACTCTGGTTTCTGTCACAGTGTTCCGTTGTGCCAGAAGCGGTTTAGTCATGCTGGCCACATGACCCAGAAACCTGTCTGCGGACAAATGCCAGCTCCCTCAGCCTGAAAGCGAGATGAGCGCCGCAACCCTATAGTCACCTTTGACTGGACTTAACTGTCCAGGGGTCCTTTACCTTTTACCTTAAGCACATGCATACTTCACCCTCCAATACTCCCTGGACAGCATTTAATACTTGAACCTTTTCCATCTACCACCAACAGCAAAAATGCTACCCATCACTTGTCCAACAGCACGTGGCTATTTAAAGAAAGCTAAGGGTGATGAGAAAAGGCACAGTTTCTCCCTCAGGAAAGCTAGCTCTATTTTTGAAAGCTTAATGAGAAATAGAAGAAACTTGGGTTAGCCAAAAGAATGAAAATAAATGGGTCCTCTTCTCCCCACAGTCACCAGCTCTTTAGCTGAAAAATGCATGGTTTTGGTTTGCCTGCAGGTGATCACTTTGTATCGACTCAGACATTTTGTTGCTATAATCTAATCAAAAGGGGAGACATAGTGACATTTTTTCAGACAAGATGTCTTCCCAGTTCCTCCTCTACAGTGTCTATTTCCTTAAGCAAGGAAGAATCCAGCCAGTGGTTTACATTATGGTGCTCCCCCTTTTGCTCTAATTCTTTACCTTAGTTTTGTTTTTGTGTTGTTTTTTTACCACGGGGGCATTTGGGAGAGGAACATGAGACACTTCAGCATGAGAGACACAACCAATAGGAGAGATGTGCCCAAGGCACTGCAGAAGGTGCTACTGCTCATTGCCTCCAGTGCATGTGGAACTACTTAGTGCAGAATCCCCCATTTGAGGGTCTTTCGTGATAAATCGGATTTGCTGTAGTTCCACTATGGGATGCCACCTGAATCTGACATGCATCACCAAAGCTCAGTTGGATGATGCCATGGGCTTGGCTTTGCCCCTGCCAGGGTTCTCTAAGCCATGTACAAAATGAAGAGGTGGAATACTTTCCATTCTGCTTGAAGTGCACAAGGTGGTTTTCTTTGGAGACTGAATTCATTCAATTTGGTTATATCCTGTGCTTCCGGCTCAAGACCAGAACCCATGATCCTGCTATTTATATAGTTTGGGAGAACAGAGGGTAGGGGCAGGGGTGATATGTTGGTACTGTTGGAATACCCTACCCTAGAACTTCTTCTGCCAGTAGTGCATGAACGATCCTTTCTTTTTCAGCAATCAGAATGTTGGTGTGCATTCCACAATATCAAAGCTTCTTCTGTAAAGGCTTGGGGTCAGCAGGTGACTTTCCATTTTGGTGTATTATCCACACTGTTAACTTGTATCCAATATGTCACCAGCTTTAGAACTCTGAAATCTTACACCCAGAAATTATTACTCTTATTCCATTTTGTTTCTGAAAATAATTGGGGAGATGAAGAGATTAACCTCCCATTAAACAACAACAAAAACTGTTTTTTTATACCTTTCTCTGAGAAGCTCAGATCAGCAATAGCCAATGCAAGTTATGTTCATTTGGAGCAGCTTTAATTTTTTTCAGGAGCTTTGCAAGTTTTGGAATCCCTTTACTCATCCTTGGTTGGCTTGGAAATCCAGCTTGGACTCTACCTTTTCTCTGTGCCTCTCCATAAGAGAAGAGAAGACACTAGATTGGACTGGGACAGATACGGTGGCAATGCTACTTCCACATCTGTAATGGTGGCATCTGGGTCTAACTGAGCAGTGCCATGTTGGATGAGGATCAATACGCATGGTGCTGCTGCAATATTTATAAGATAGCACCATCTCCATTGTCCTATTGCAATCTGACTTAGAATGACTGCAGTGTTAGATCACACAAAACAAGGTATGATTGAAGGGAGATAGGCAGGAATTCAGGACAAACACTGTGCAGATTTATTTTATTTACCGGGCAGCCACCATGTGCCCAATAACAAAGCAACATCTGAATAAAAGGTTACTGTTTCTAGATTCTTTCTAAGAACATGGCGTCTTGTCTTTCTGCTCAAATTAAAACTTCTCAGATAATACTGCTGTATAGTGTCAAACTGAAGAAATCCAGTGCCTCAGACAAGGAAAAGAAAGAGGCCCCGCACCCTCTAAGATTACTACAACTATTTATTTACAAAAATGGCATTGCTGCTATGCGTGCTGTGACTGGGCCTCAGACCTTTCCTGAAAGATTGTGAGAAAGGTGTGTTTCTATTTTTCAGAGGAGGCCAACTTTTTCGGTTGTAACTTCCAGACAGGGCAAAGATCTTTAAGCGACAAGCATTTCAGAAAACCACTGGTTAATCTTTCCAAGAATATTTTAGAGATTAAACTGCAAAGTGAGTTCTGGAAAGCCATGATAGTATTATATGTACTGTGAAGATGTTTACCGCACACTCTGATCACATAACTGTGATCGATTTGTTGTAGCACGTACCATATGCTGGAGAGATACAGCAGACGCATAATCGGCCTGATATCATGTCATAAAAATGTGTAAATGCAAGCAGATGTTTGTGAAACAAATTAGCCAAAATGAGGTTTCATTCATATCATTTGAAATGCATAATTCAGTTACAGTAGGAACTGGCGCAGGCTTGTCTTGCTTCATTCTGAACTCTCTATAACTTTCTGGGTCTGCTCCACAACCCACAGAAATCAATAACATGGATCACATTTGCTTCACTGGGGTCTGGAGGAGATCTGAGGAGATCAAAATTCCATTCTGAAGGATGTTAGTGCTTCAGTGTGGCTGGCTTAACATTCCATTTGGAACGCATTGTATAGGTCTGTTGTCATTGCTTTTGCAGATGAGCCGAGCCATAACTGTGACCTCAGAATAAATTTAGCCATTTGAGGGAAATGGGCAAGCATTTGTGAAAGGGAATGAAATGTTGCTCAGCTTATTCACCTTTGCCCCTGTACCTATAAATCAATTGACAGTCCAAGATACTGTGATCCTTGCTTCCTACATGAAAGGGATTTTCATGTGCGAGGCTTAAGTTGGTCTATAATGGATGTATAAATTCTACATTGGCTACAGTCTGCATTCAGTCTCTGTTCCATGCTCTGTCTAGTCTTTCACATGTCAAAGACAGCCCTTGTCACTTTGGTGACTGAGGCAAAATATCCCAGTGTTGCTCCCACAGTGGTGAAAATAGAATAATAAAAATAATGGGCAACACTACCCGCTAATGATATATTAAAATCTGCTGTCTAAAGTAGTCTTAATTGAAGGACTGCATCTGTTGTGTATTAACAACATTTACATGTGGCACAAATGGGCTCCAATCTACTTTTTAGTATTTCATGGGGGTAGGTCTAGCGCACGGGTGTCAAACACAAGGCCCGCGGGCCGAATCCGACCCACCAGACCTCGTCATGTGGCCCGTGTAGCCGCTGCCAGCCGCCAGCCTTCACCTTTATTCTTGCTTTTTTTTTTTTACACAAGAAAGTCGCCTCTTCAGCGCATGCGCGGCAGCCTACAAGCCAGAGAACGTCTGCCCTCTAGCGGCACCGGCCGTTCTACACAAGAAACCTCCACTTTACATGCATTCAGGAAACCTCCACTTGTTTTTATACTGAGCGCATGCCATCCTGTGATGTGACAGATCCAACGGCTGCCTGAACCCTTCTCTCCTGTACTGTAAGTCCTACAGATACAACCGGCCCTTTGAGGGTGACCAAACTGCTGATGCGGCCCCCGATGAATTTGAGTTAGACACCCCTGGTCTAGCGCCTTTATGCTTCCCCATGTGAAAACTGGAAATATGCCTCAATGGCGCTGTGTGTGTGTGTGTGTGTGAGAGAGAGAGAGAGAGAGAGAGAGAAAGAGAAAGAGAAAGAGAAAGAGAGGATCTTCTCTATTTGGACCAATTCTCTGTTCTATAGTTTCAGGCAAATGTTTTATGTGGTTGCTTTGTCCTTTATATTGTTCCTTAGCATCTTCACTTTGGAAATCAGGGGTGAATTTCCAAATGACCATGGTTGATGATGCTGGGAACTCTATTTCCCAGCACACAGGGTACCATTAACATGCATGTACCATCATTACAAGCTAAGGGAGAAGTTTGGGGAAACAGACAATTTCCCCCCCCCCAAAAAAAAGCTCCTAAAGAAAACTTGCAATTGTTGAGCCAATTCCTAATTAAGCTGAGAAGGGTTTGCTTACTACTAAACTGAACTGAGGAAAGAAGGCAATGCAGATTATTATCCTTATTGGAATAATAAAAAAAAGAAAAACTTGTGTTATTAGCTCCCCTGCAGAATTAATGTTATGTAATAAGTAATTCAGGACACCTTCATAAAATGATTTCCAGAACTATCTGTTGGTTTTGCTGGATTTTACCTAGCCCATAGTTTCTCCTTTTACTCCAAGCTTTTTGGATTCTTTTACTCTGCTCCTGAGATTCTGGTCATTTTCTTCAGTGTACGCACTGTCTCTTTTGATCTTTAAGCAAAACATGTGTGGTGGTGTTGGAGTCACTCCCTTGTCACCACATTGGTGATGTCGGGCACACATGGATCCCATCTCTGGCCAGCCATGGCTTCACTCCATGAACTCCACAGGCTTATCACATTCACTATGTCCTAAATGTCCCCACAAATGCCAAAAATAGTAAAGGGTAGTCAAAGGACAGTAGGAAAGGAAAAACTGTTGCAGCTGCACTATGCTCTTTAGTCAATATGTATTTTTAAATTTATGATTTAATTATATAATGCCCTGCTCTTCAGTTCTGAGGGACTGTAATATGGATGTGTGGGCATATTTCAAAACAATGGGCTACAGCATGGGTAGGCAAACTAAGGCACGGGGGCCAGATCTGGGAGCAACGGGAGGTCACCCTGTCACGGGGATTCAAACCGCCGACCTTCTGATTGGCAAGCCCTAGGCTCTGTGGTTTAGACCACAGCGCCACCCGCGCTGTCACCACAACTACGTCCCCTTAAATCATGTTGTCCATCAGGGGCACCGGGGGGGTGGTGGACGAGGGGCCTTGGCCCCCCAAAAAAATCAAGGAGGGGGTTGGGCCCCCTGAATATCCTGCAGCGCCATGCATATGCCGTGTGCATACGCCATGTGACGTGCTCATGTCACTAGCGCATGTCACACAACATGCACATGTCACATGCTCAAGCCGCACAGTGTGCACGTGACACATCAGCACATCTTGTGGCACGTGTGTGTGACGTGAGGCCTGCATGCGACGCTGGCCCCTTCCATCATGGGGGCAAACCAGAGCGCCTGTTGTCCATGGTCCAAGATAACAACAACTGAACCACTAGCTCCACAGGATCTTCCTCCAAAGCATATAGTGTTTTCTTATCCACAGCCAGGGCTGGTAAGGTGGAACAGTTGAAGAACATATATCAGAGCAACTCCTGGAGCTCATTGCTCCAGTATTAGATTCAGCTGAATAAGATGAAGAAAACAGGACTGAGAGTGTTGGGATTACAAATATACAACTGCTCAGTTGGCCCCTTTCTTAATGACTATCATCTGGGTGCAAGGATGGCAAGTTGAGAAACAAATTCTTTATGTGCATGGAGCAAAGGAAAGCCCTAAAGCAAGCATACCAGCAGAACAATTAGATGGTTAATCATAATTCTGTCTAGGGGATTCTTTCTTCATTTTTTTCTACTTCAAAGAAACAATGATTTATAAACAATGTTGTCTCCCCTTGTGAAATGACTCACTCTTCAGCCCACATTGGGGTTACCCGTACACTGCTTCACATTTCAGGGTTACAATATCAAATGTCAGGATATACAAAGATACATTGCTCAAATTCCATCTTGAGAGCTTCTCATTAGTGCTTCTGGGTTGTGGGTTGTTTCCATAATTGTAATGAAGATTTACCAAAGCAGAGCGTTTGTTTAAGATCTATGGGGTAGGAAACTCTGGGAGTTGACTGTGTTGTCCACTGTAATGGGCCAGTGTCAATCACAGGTAACGGGTGTTAGCTGGAATTTGTCCACCTTGCCTCTGCATTCCAGAAATGAATCTTGCTGTGTTATTTTCATAGTAATATATCTTGGGGTAGAAAGAATGAAGAGTTGAGACAAAAGCTTGATTTTAACAGGAGTTCTTTTCCACTTTTTGAGCTTATTCAGCATTTCATCTATCCCATCAATATATAAAGGCGATCTCATATATTAGAACCTAGGCAGCTGTTTCATGCAGAGTCAGTCCATTAGCCTAGTGTTTCCCAACCTTGGATCTCCAGCTGTTTTGGACTACAACTCCCATCATCCCTAGCTAGCAGGACCAGTGGCCAGGGATGATAGGAACTGTAGTTCAAAAACAGCTGGAGACCCAAGGTTGGGAAACACTCCATAAGCCTATCTAGCTCAATGTTGCCTGCAGAACTGTTTCCTGGGCCCTGGGACATTTCTGCATGCAAAGCATTTGTTCTACCCCTGAGCGACAATCCTTCCCCATATAACACAATTCAACTTGCAACACGCAAAATAAGTTTAGTTAGTTGCAACTCTGGATCCCATTAATTTCAGTGGAATGTGCTGCCCAAAGAAAATGTTTATTTACCCCAATAGTTCGCATCAACTTCTAGTTAGCTAACACATTGATGCATGTGTATTGCATCAGTTGTGACTAGCCACATATATATCATCCTGTCTTTGCCCTTTAAAGTGTTTGTTGAGTGATCATAGAATTGTAGAGTTGGAAGGGACCCAAGGGTCATCTAGTCCAACCCCTTGCAATGTAGGAATCACAACTAAAACATCCATGACAGATGGCCATCCAACCTCTGCTTTAAAACTTCCAATGAAGGAGGGTCCATCACTGTCCAAGGAGTTCATTTCACTGACAAACAGCTCTTACCGTCAGAAAGTTCTTCCTGATGTTAAATTAGAATCTCCTTTCTTGTAACATGAAGCCACTGATTTAGGTCCTACCCTCCAGAGCAGGAGAAAACAAGTTTGCTTCATCTTTTGTGAGATAGCCCTTGAGATATTTGAAGATGGCTATCATATCTCCTCTCAGGCTCCTCTTATCAAGGCCAAACATGCCCAACTCCCTCAACCGTTGCTCATAAAATGAGGTGGCTGATGGTGGGAAAAGACTGGACTCCCTTCTATGAGTAATCATTCCCTCTAATTCCATATTCAGATGAACCCATTCTGGTCAAATGGGGCCATCCACCAACAAAAGGGAGGTTCCAGCATACCCAGGGGATCAGTAAGCTATATGCAAATATTCAAGGCTGACACAAGTATACAATATGGGGACAATTGCTTTCCAACAAGGGGCCAAAAAAGTGAAGAATTAAGAAAATTAGAAATATGCATGGCCTGGGTAGGAAGGCTTTTTACTGACTTTGGGTGAGTTTCTGCCTTTTAAGCTGGAGCTGTCATTTCCTCCATCTTAGGATGGCTCACTTATAAGCCCACAGTTTCTCTTCAAGGACACAAAATATGCCACTGCCAACACCAGCACTGCGTTGTTCTCAAGCACTGAGAAGTTCCAGAAGCAGCACTACAGGATGTTGGAGGGAGGGGGATAAAAGAGCACGGACTTAAAGGTGCCTTTGTAATGTCTGTTTTATTTACAAATATATGGCAGAGCATAAGTGGAGACAAACAGGCACTTCTACAGCAGGCAGCAGGTCCCCGGAGAGCAACTTGTACCATGGCTGCAACTCCAGTTTCAGCTAATTCATGTCTCTCCCTCTCCACTGAAAAACATCTGCATAAGTGCAAGTCCCAGACTTAGACCCCCTGCAGGTGGATTGCCCATTCAGGAAACATCCACAGCCATTAAAGAAACATTAACTTTCTTTTGCCAAATCCCCGACTTTCATTAGGTGACACTTCAGGAGAAACTATAGTGGCAGACTCGTTCACAGTACTCCAACAGCCAGACTCCCAACACTATTATACCACCCTTGCCTTTGCCAGCTGATGCCCAGTGGTCTTGTTAAGACCTTGTTGTCCAATGCTGTGCCCCATTTATTTCCCTGGCTGTTCTAATCTTCTCAGCGCTGTTTACTTCTACTTTGGTCAGTGCTCTGGGCTAGAGGAAGAAGGTCTGTTAACTTTGATTTCACTCTGCTGGGCCTCCCTTCATTTCCCGGACACTTTTTGAGGCATTCCCTTCATGACCAAATCTGGGCTGAGTTCCCAGCTTGAATTTTAACTTCTGCTTCAATATATTTCAAACGTCAGCTGCTGTAAATTATTCTCTGACAAGGCCGCCCTCTTGTATTTTGGCACATTTGTTCATAGGCTATAATATATACTTTCCCTATCCTCTCCTTCCCTTATGCAACTGTCAAAGAGATGATTAAAATACTAGAATCCTGAAGCCAAAGAATTGATGGGCTAGTTCAAACGCAAACACAACTATTTGGCATTGTTGCCGCCTTCAGGTTAACCAGGTCGCAATGCTGAACTAACTATCAAACATACAAATGGCAGGATTCTCCTGTCAGGGTCTAGAGACTGTGTTTCATAACTCTTTGGCCCACAGTCTCTCATCTTCGATATATCCCTGGCCTGCCCACTTCCTTCCTTCCAATAGTCCATAGCTCATGTCCTACTTTCCAGTTCCCTGGACCACTGAAGCCCTATTTGGGTATTCACACAATTACAGCTGCATGAGGGAGAGAGCAGGGCCACACACAGCATACATGCAGAGACTCCCTGTGTGATTTAGAAACCTAATCACACACCCAATACGTATGCCCCCCCTCACCAAACATGTGAACCATGAGAGGTAGCAAGGATGCAATGCTGAGGGTGGGGCCAGGGAGCACAGTCCCACTCCCCCCCCACATGATTATGATTATATAGTTATAACTGTGTGATGGAAGAAAGCCTGAAAAGTACTTAATGGACATCTCAAACAGAGCCATAACTAGATGATATTGTGCTCCTGGCAGAACCGTCCAGATTGCGCCCCTTAGCCACGGACAAGTTAGCTCTTCCTTCTGCCTCTCCTCCAACCGCCCCCCCCATTCAATTCACCCTCAATTTAAAACCTTTTCTTATGAGGCAATAATCAATATTTTTTATTTACAGACATATTTATGGACATATTTTTAGCCGATTTTGCTCCTCCCACCCCCCTGCACCCCTAGTGGGGGCCCACCTCTCCACCCCCTAGCTACGGCCGTGATCTCAAATAAATTTTCTGAACCTCAAGGAACTCAGAGACACATCAGAAAAAACAGATGGTTACTTTACAGTGACTGTCAGTATTCACTGGAATAACAGCAAAATAGGGTAGCTGTATGCCTATCTGGGGGGATTCTGGAAGATTTGCAATATACTTCCACCCTTTCCTACTTTTGTTTTTAGTTTTTTACTTCCATCATTCACACTTTCCTGAATTAAATATGGTGTGGGTTTTTAACAAAATTGTTTTGGTATATATGTTTATGTATTTTTATATTTCTTACAAAAATCTAAAGCAGTGAATAATAGAAGCAATCAGATCAACACTATGAAGATCAGTTGTCCTTAAATAACTTTCTTTTTTAAAAACTGAACTCTACTCTGGCAATGAATTGCTCATTAAAAAGCTTTCCCGAGGTCTTGCCCTCCTTTCTAAAATCTAAACGAGTAAGCAGTGTGGATGTCACTGCAGAGGAAACTCCATTAAAACAATCTTATGAATGGGAGGGGGTGGAACCACACATTATTCTAATGCACTAACAAAACCCTAACAGATGCTTCTGTTAAGGACAGCTGCTCATAATTTAGGTCCCATCTGCACGATAACTTTAAAGCGGTGTCATACGACTTTAAATAGTCATCGCTTCCAACAAAGAATTCTGTGAATTGTAGTTTTGCTAAGACTGCTGATGGTTCCCTATTCCTCTCAGAGAGCTACAATTTCCAGAATTCTCTGGAAACAAAAAATGACTGTTAAGCCACTCTGAGAATTGTAGCTGTGTGATCACTCTTAACAAAGTACTGTCATCACTCTTAACAAAGTACTGTTCCTAGAAGCCAATACTGTCCAAAGCGGTGTGGTACTCCTGCCTTAAATGTATCGTGCAGATGGTGCCTTAGGGAAGTATTCAGGGCCGAGGGGTGTGGGATCCTTGCCCTACCCATAGTTTTTTCTGTAGCCATTTTCTGAATGCATACAAACATTGTGTGTGCCCCGCTGGGGTACACAGTGTCTGCTTGCTCCCCTTGAAAAGGCTTTTCCCTATAGGAGGAGTGGAGAACCTCAGGCCCGGCAGGCAAATGTGCCCCCCCCCCACAACCCAGCTTCTCTATCCAGCCCTCAAAACTCTGTGCTGGCCAGACCCTCCCAGGCCACAACCCTCACTGGCCCTAGTCCTTTTGTGCTTTTACCTAATTGGGATGTGTCCTGGAACTGTAATAATATACCTTGCTTGCCTGCACGGAGGGTAGGGGTTGGTTTGTGTGTGTGGTTGTACCAATGTTTGCTACACACACCACTGTTATGCGGTCCTTGAGGGAATGTGAACCTTGACAAAGGTTCCAATTAAAGAGCCAGTCATATGGGTCACAGCTTGCAATCAAATGCTAACTGTGGCGTAAGTCCTAACCTACTGCACGGTCTTTCAGCTGTTTGTTGTTGTTTGTTTTGCTTTGTATTGTTTATTTAACTATGGCCATGGGCAGCTGCAAATCTGATTGGAGCTACAGGGGAAAGGACTACTCAATCCTTTCCCCTCAAGCTATGATAATCTCCTCTATCCAACTGCCATGCCATGCAATGGTGGAAACTGAGTCCATATATTTCAGTGGGTAAGCAATGGGGAGGGGTGGAGGTATTGATTAGGAAAAATAGCCCACATGGGAAAGGGTTAACCAATGTCAATTAACATCCAAAGTGGAAGATCATGGTGAACCGACTGTTTCTATGATTAGAAAAAAATACCTTTTGATTTTTCTAATACAGGGAACACATGCTGTCATCACCCGTTCCCCTGAATTACTCCATTGCTCACTCAAATGGACTGTTTGCATGAGTTTCTAATTTGGGTTAGCAGAACCACCTCTTAAAGGAAGGCAGAAGGAAGTTCTATACAAGCAAAATGTGGTTAATCCTCAGGAACACCTATATATCTGCATATTATTATGAAGTATTAAAAGTATTTTACACATAATGCTCCCCAAATAAAAATGTTGTCTCAAATTACGACCTTGACAGATTAGAGAACTGGGCCAAAACAAACAAGATGAATTTTAACAGGGAGAAATGTAAAGTATTGCACTTGGGCAAAAAAAATGAGAGGCACAAATACAAGATGGGGGACACCTGGCTTGAGGGCAGTACATGTGAAAAGGATCTAGGAGTCTTGGTTGACCACAAACTTGACATGAGCCAACAGTGTGACGCGGCAGCTAAAAAAGCCAATGCAATTCTGGGCTGCATCAATAGGAGTATAGCATCTAGATCAAGGGAAGTAATAGTGCCACTGTATTCTGCTCTGGTCAGACCTCACCTGGAGTACTGTGTCCAGTTCTGGGCACCACAGTTCAAGAAGGACATTGACAAACTGGAACGTGTCCAGAGGAGGGCAACCAAAATGGTCAAAGGCCTGGAAACGATGCCTTATGAGGAACGGCTAAGAGAGCTGGGCATGTTTAGCCTGGAGAAGAGGAGGTTAAGGGGTGATATGATAGCCATGTTCAAATATATAAAAGGATGTCACATAGAGGAGGGAGAAAGGTTGTTTTCTGCTGCTCCAGAGAAGCGGACACGGAGCAATGGATCCAAACTACAAGAAAGAAGATTCCACCTAAACATTAGGAAGAACTTCCTGACAGTAAGAGCTGTTCGACAGTGGAATTTGCTGCCAAGGAGTGTGGTGGAGTCTCCTTCTTTGGAGGTCTTTAAGCAGAGGCTTGACAACCATATGTCAGGAGTGTTCTGATGGTGTTTCCTGCTTGGCAGGGGGTTGGACTCGATGGCCCTTGTGGTCTCTTCCAACTCTATGATTCTATGATTCTATGAATTAAACTGAGGACTCAGCTACATCGCTGCAAATAAAACGTTTTAAACATGTTGTAAAGTGCAATATACAAATGTGACACTAGATGGCGGCAGGGAGCTATGCAGAATCCAATGTATTTTTCAAAGTGTTTTTTTTTAAAAAAAACCACATTTTCACAGCATTTTTTTATATGTGTGTAAATTCCACCTGAGTAGGTCCTTGAACCTTAATGCATGAATCTTACTGCTGACAGGGTCTTCTAGACTCAGTCCAGTATGCATGTACCTGGAGGGGGGGGTGCAATTCCTGGCCATATGGCAATCTGTCTGAACCTCCATGCCCCACCACTCCACATACATACACAGAGAGAGCACTAGAATAGATCCATCAGCATTGCTTCTTTTCTGCAACCCTGAAATGATAGTGTCCAGAATACAGTGTTTCAACCTTCTATGCTAACTGTCTGCAGAAATTTCATACTGTTTTCTATTTGTTCACTAACCGAGACTGGGCTGTAGCAAACAAACTGGGTCGTGAATCAAAGGGAGAGAAGAGCTTATTTAGAGAACTGCACATAGGCTGTCTACTATACTCTTTTACTTTGCAAGATGCGTATCATGTCACTGAAGATTAATGCCCTGCATGGCTATATCTTCCTGCCCTGCAATCCATTAAGTTGTTGGGGGGGGGACCATCACTCTCACAGCTTAATTAGAAGTCCCTTTCAGAGATAGGAAGTGAGCTTGGAGGATGTGCGTCTGACAGTGCATGTCCTTAGAGGCTGATTCCTTCTTCTCTTAGATCCTAGTTATATCACTTACTTCCTTTCTTCTGCCTCACTCCCCAGCCTCACCCAGCTGAGAATTTGCACCTGTGCACAGCTCTCTGCTTCCAATGATCCAGGTAGCATGAAGTTTCTTAGCCCATCTGGGTTTTTTTGGGGGGGGGGTGAGGTACAGGTCATTTTGACCCTCTGCCCTATATTTCTGCAAAAGTATGAGTAGCTCTGCACCCTTTGGTTGATGCTGTCTCCTCCTTTGCCCTCTCCCATTTTGGCTCCCATGCTTACTCACTTCTTTGCTGTCACAAGGAGGGAGTGATACAAGAAAGACCATTCCTTTTGTGGGCTCCCTCCTGGTTTGGAATGCATGCCCCAAAGGCAGAGAACGGGAAACTGGGAGGGGGATGAACCTCACACAGTAAACAAAAACAACTTGAGTCTTCCAAAATCTAACAAACACTTTGAAAATGCTTTTGTCCTTATTCTTTACTCCTCGGGAATTTCTTTTTTTCTTCTTTGACAAGAAGCAAAACAAGAGAGAGAGAGAGAGAGAGAGAGAGAGAGAGAGAGAGAGAGAGAGAGAGAACAATTCATAAAAATATGTTTCCTGTTTTGGTGTCTCACTCAGCTGTTCAACTCCATACCAAATCAATTTATGCCAGGAAATAGCCTGGCCTCTGTTTTTCGTTAATGATAGCTGTTTAATTCCAATACCAACAGCTAATTAGCTAGAAGGGACGATACAATGCAACCTCATTTATGTGCTGGGCAGAGAAAGGGGTGGGGGTGTAATGCCAAAGATATTTAGATAACCAACAAATCAGATTAATGAAGGCTCAGTCAACAACAGTTGAAAGTATAGTGGGCACAGGGGCAGTTTGGGTAACTAGGAATTTTGGGTTACCAAAGTTGGTATAATGACAGGATCAAGAAAGATTCCACCTACTCCAGAAATGGGAACCTTTGGGACTGCATCCTGCTGCTTCATGTGACAAGACTAAGAATTGCAGATCAAAGTCCCCGTGCTTCACTGTGACTCCAAGTGTTGTTGTTTAGTCGTTTAGTCGTGTCCGACTCTTCATGACCCCATGGACCAGAGCACGCCAGGCACTCCTGTCTTCCACTGCCTCCCGCAGTTTGGTCAAACTCATGCTGGTAGCTTCGAGAACACTGTCCAACCACCTCGTCCTCTGTCGTCCCCTTCTCCTTGTGCCCTCCATCTTTCCCAACATCAGGGTCCTTTCCAGGAGTCTTCTCTTCTCATGAGGTGGCCAAAGTATTGGAGCCTCAGCTTCACGATCTGTCCTTCCAGTGAGCACTCAGGGCTGATTTCCTTCAGAATGGATGCATTTGATCTTCTTGCAGTCCATGGGACTCTCAAGAGTCTCTTCCAGCACCATAATTCAAAAGCATCAATTCTTTGGCGATCAGCCTTCTTTATGGTCCAGCTCTCACTTCCATACATCACTACTGGGAAAACCATAGCTTTAACTATACAGACCTCCAATTCATCTTCTCCCCTGCTTGCTGGATTATCCTCACAAACACAGATCTAAATGTGTAAGAGCACCTGAGGTGAAGGGAAACCGCAAGAGACAAAAGACTGGCATGGGAAGAGTTAAGCACTCTTTAAAGTTTCCATCATTTCTTTGTGGTCAATCACATCCTCCTGATGGCATCTTTGCTATCAAGGCTTCCTTACTCAAGGTTGCCTGCTGTGCAACATGCAGGTCACACCTAAAATGGCAATTCAGCCAGCAAGACACATTAAAGTGCCACTGATTTCAGTGGGAGTGAGGGAGCCAGGTGCATGATCTGCCCCAAATCAAGGGGCCTCTGACCAAATCATCCCCTATACCAGGGGGGCAAACGCCCAGAAAAACACCCCGGCATCCTGGGCTCATCACACCCTACTCTTCTTCTTTGTGGCTTCCAAAGGGAAGCAAGAAGTTTGTAAAACACACAGCCTTATGTATTTGTGCAGATTCAGTGTGTTAAAAGGATAAAAGTTGACAAAGACTCCAGGAGGTCTATTGCACAAGTGTGTTGGACAAATGGCATTGCCTTTAGGAAACCTTGTCTTACTCAACTACATTTATGCAATAAATTGTAGAAGAGCCCAAAATGTAACTAATATGCTGTATGCAAGCACAAATAGAACCTTAACAAATAATAAATAACTTGTTCCATATGTGTGGCTCTCCCAACAGCCACTAACTATACACCCTCCCCCTTCCCCACCACACACATATAAACACACACATTCTGACTCTAAGGTAAGGAATGCACAAGCTTTCTGATTTGCCAGCAAAATTGGGAGGGGAAGAGGTTAAACAACGTTCTCGGAGTATTATGAGGCCAGACAGAGATGTCCACAATTAGCTTGTAAACTACTCAGAGGTTTCCTTATAATCATGCGTTATATACATTTTGTTACATGAAATAAAAACAATGCTGCCCTGCCCAGGCATGCCCATGCCACACTTTCTCTTCTCTTACAATTTAACGTTACTCATCCAGATTATCATGTGCCACAAACAGGTCTTCTCAGGAGCAAGCAAGGAACACTAGACCAGATGTGCCTACAGGCAAGGAACAGCAGGATAAGAACGGGGGGGGGGGGGGATAGGGTGATCTGAGTATTATTCCTCTAGGCAAGGCACAAATGGTGACTAGATATCATTAATGCAATCGTAGGAGGGACACTGTGCAAGGAAAAATTCCATTGGTGGGGTGGGAGGTTAAATGCAAGCAACATGCTAACCACTGTTTACAGCAGAAAATTATCAATAAATGCACAGGTGGTTAAAGAAGTTTGAGACTACAAGCTATGTGACTCTCACATTGAGGACTAGTGTAGTAAGAACAGATCCACAGTAATACTTATATAGACAGGTATGGAATTGCCGCAAAAAAAAGGGGGAGCACGTTTTAGCAATACTTGTGGCAGTTACTTTTTATGCCTTGCAACACTTTTGAGAAATAGTTATGAGGTTTGAAAGACAGGTAGGAGGGGTCAGTGGTCTCACTTGCCATTCTTGAATGGTACCCCTGCTAAGAAGTGGTGAGCGCTATTGAACTCAAATCCTTCTTGCGGGATTCCCAGAGGCATCTTATTGACATCGCTAAGAACACGATGCTGGACTAGATGGGCATGTGGCCTGATCTGGTAGGGCTTCTCATTTGTCCTTAAGTTCACAACAGGTGCCAGTTTTGAACAAGAGACTTTGCAGCTGAGACCCAAAGTCACTAGAATTAGACTCTCCAGACAACTGAAATTGATGGTAGGGGCATGCTACTAGCTGCCACCTCTTCCTCAACCACCCATCTCTCTCTCTCTCTCTCTCTCTCTCTCTCTCTCTCTCTCTCTCTCCTGATGCTCTAAGAACTAATCAGAAGATATTTCACTGTAAGTCACAGTGTGGCCATGAAAAGATTCAGCACACAGGAGCTGCTGTCACAATAGCGGTTTCTCCGTTAACACTTCTAGCCCTTTAACATTTAGCATATTTCTATGCTGATTTTTTTTACATGGGGCAGATGTGCAGCGACTTCACAACTGCCACTGGATGATGTGCACCACATTGTTATTTTGAGATGAAGCCAAGGTGGTAGGATTCAGCTAGTGGTAGAACACAATGACCATTATCGTTGTGCTCTTGTCTGCTAGCAAAGGTCTTGCTGGGTCATACTGTTCCTGAACTGTGAAGCTCGATTGACCTCACAATTCTATTTTCTTAGGTCATGCCAAGGCTGCAGTTACTGGAAGTGAGGATATGGCCGAAGATCATAGTAGAATGTAACATTTTGGCTGATGGACAGCAATGGATGGGAGAAAGCAATAACTATGGCACCGTACAACAACAGAGATGCAAACCACTTAGACAGAACTGGTCCATCATCAACCAAATTCCTTGGCTCAGTGTGTTGGCAGGTCAGCCACTGAAAATGTGAAGGTTTGGGGAAGGAAAGGGGGAGGCAGTACTTTGGAGAACAAAGGTGCAGGCTGCCGTTGCTGCTGGGACTGAAAGGGACTCATGATAAACCTGTACAATTGTGTAGAAATGCTTTCAAATTTTGCGCGTGTGAAACTTGACAGATTTAACAGTTGGAGAGGGAAGTAGAATTTTACAAGCTGCAAACCTCTTTGTCATATGCACAAGCACTATTCCTAAAAGGCTTGTATCCTTGAGAGTCTGCATTTGGTTTGCATACATTCAAAGTCAAATATTCCCATGAAATCTTTCTTGCTTACTTTTCTGCAGCCCCCAAGCCCACTACTTGTTTTACCCTGCCCTCCTTCCTTTCCTTTTTCTATTGTGGCATTCTTCCTTTATTATCCTTTATTATTATAGTCATGCCTAGACGCCCCAGTGGAGATTAGGTCACCATAATATGAGAAGCTATGCAAACACATAGTAACACATTTGTTGTGCCCACAGGGAGTTCATAGTTTAGAATGGAAAAGAGTACGAGGTAGGAAAAGAAAAGCTCAGAAAGACTCCACCAGGTCACCGCAAAATAGCCCCAAGTTGTAGTTCAGGGCTCCCTAGCCGAACAGACCACCCCGCTTTGCTTCCCACTGGGCATCTCTCTCCTCTGCTATCCATTCTGCAAGAGGCAATTGTGTGTGTCTACCTGAACTGCCCACGGCAGCAGCGCTGAGGGCTGCCTCCCCTGCGATGCCTCTTAGGCAGTTGTCAGGTTTGGATAACCATCTCTAGATTTCCTCATGGAACGTGCTGTTCCTCTTTGTACTATTCCTGTTTGTACTATTAACCCTGATTTTCCACTGCAGTAAACAATAAAAAGGCAAGACAGATAGCCCTTCAGACCATTCCAGCTGGGCAAGATACACTCGAGCCATTATCCATCTTTCCTCTCCCTCTCCCCATTTGCAGCCTCATTTTCTCAAAGTTCTTTTCTCATCTTAAATTTGCCATCTCTCTCTCTCCCTCTCCCCAATGCATGCTTCTGCCTTACGAGTTGATTCACTTTGCCCTTTTTCTCTTCCACACAATGTTTCCCAGCAGAAAAGAGAACCCCGTCCAGTCATTCAAAATGCACCGAAAGCCCCCATAGGCTTATTCCAGCCTCCCAAAACAAGACTTGAAGTACTTTGTATCATGGTGGTATCAATACTAGAAAGAGATGGGTGACAGAAAACACGTCAGTTTCCCGCCCAGTCATTTCTCCATTACTTATGTCCTTTTTTGCCAACTCTACTTGGCCTAAGAAATTAAAAGGCCAGGATTACCTCATCTTTCTATTTTATTTACATTTAAGGCTTTTATATAGATCACCTAGGGCTGTTTGCAGTGAAACTTTAAGTTGCTAATACAGTTGCTAACATTAAGCCCCCTGCTCCACACTGGAAACTTCAATGCCATGGTCTTAATGGGCTTTTTCCCACTGTGGGCCAAACTATATAACAGATTATAGTGGGGTGGTTGGCTGTCACCAGAAACATATGCCAAGTGTATAGTTACCCCTTCCTACTCCATAATGTAGAACTTGTCAAGGTTTTCTACCCTTTTGTAACTGCAGTTAACCTATGTGCTAGAATTTGTGAAGGAGGAAAACACTGCGTCCATGCCATACTTCAATGTAATTTAGCAACATGGGTATTTCGCAACATGGGCAGATATTTCATTACTACCAACAACAACATAGTTCATGCTAACTAGAAAGTAAACACAAGCTCCGGGGGAAGACCTGCTTTAAGACCTGGGAGCCACTTGCATGCCCAAGCCAAGCTCACTTTGCTAATCTGGGCATGAAACCCTCTCCATGAAAGTACATAGCCTAACAATCCAGGTAGACTTTTTCATTAAACACAGCTGAAAACAGAATCCTTTCTTAGACCAAACTCTTATTAAAAAGAAAGGTAGCTTACTATGGAAAAGAAGCAGATAAAGTAACTTAAATATATCCAACTCTACAATTCTATGCTAACTAAATACAAAAATGCTTATGTGATGCCTTCCTAGCCTAGATATGGGAATATCAAACAGAGGCCAAAACTTACATACACGTGCTGAGAGTCTTTGTTTCAGGCCACTTTGAAATGGCAACAGGCACATGTTCCCTGGGCTCCGAAGAAGCACCAGCCCAATATGTTTGACACAGAAACCAGGAAGCCAGAAGAGAGATGGGGAACTATCCTGACTCTTTTTAAACCTCAGAATATTCAGGATGGAGAAGAGGGCATTACCCATTCCCTGTGACACAGACCAACCAATCTCTCCAAGGCGGGGCTTGTAAAAAGCCAATCAGGAATGCCTATACTAATATGGTTTCCCAATCTCCATACTAAAGAAGGTATCAGGAAGAAGGCCAAATTATCATCTCTGGGTCAGCCTGGCCAGGAATTACTCATACCCCATGGCTGGGTAATTTCACCCTGGGAACACATTAATAAAAAAAAATAATGGGAAACACCCAGAAAGTTTCAGTGTGTGTTTCTCCAGAAGATCACAAATTTGCAGAGAAGAAGACTAGAACCAATATTCCACTGGCACTATAGTGTTGTCATTGGGAGAGTCAGGGACTGGTAAAAATGGATGCCTGGCCATTAGGTCAATACAAGTCAAGATCATCACAGAGCTTACTTCATGTCATGATGTCATGGCTTTCTGTGTCTTCTGCATCTACTCCATTCCCATCTCAGACTGCCAACCATGTGAGGGAGGCTTGGGTCAAAATACACAGACTGTCCTGATATTGCAGTATGGGGTCTTATCTACTAGATCAGGGGTAGGCAAACTAAGGCCCATGGGCCAGATCGCCTTCTCAATCCGGCCCACGGACGGTCCGGGAATCAGCATGTTTTTACATGAGTAGAATGTGTCCTTTTATTTAAAATGCATCTCTGGGTTATTTGTGGTGCATAGGAATTTGTTCATCCCCCCCCCCCCAAATATAACCTGGCCCCCCACAAGGTCTGAGGGACAGTGGACTGCTGAAAAAGTTTGCTGACCAGGGTGTGTTATAGAAAAGAAGGGGAGAGGGGAACTAGACACATAGTTGCTGTTTTCTGTGCTTGCTTGCCATGTCTACTTTGGCCCTGTTTAAAATGTCCACAATAATAATTTTAAGAATTAGAATTTCATGCTCAGAAGCTATTCCTATACTGACATGGCAGAGTTACAGAACAGTGTGACCGGATTTGGCTTACAACCTAACCTAGTATTATTGTGCCAGCCCATTGCTTTTAATAGCCAGGCTGATTTCATTCTGGGTCACCTAGAAGGCATCAAAGGAAACCGCAGGTATTGGAAGTGATAAGTCATCAACTTGTAGCCATCCAACATGCATGTGGGCAAATGCCACTGGCATCAGTCAGTTTCCCCCCTACCTGCTGCTTGAGCAGTGTAATAATGCTCCACTTCTTCCACTGCAGATAACTGTAGATACTATGTAAATAATTTCCTAAAATAATTACAAATAATAGCATGCAGCCAAGGGACCATGGCTATGCTTCTTGTTGTCCTTGAGATGCCCTTCTATGCATCACTGGTCATTACACTGCTGATAAATCCTATGGTGCTTGGTTATTGGGTGGAAGGTATATGTTATGTTCAATAACAGCATCCAAATATATGTGTGGTCCATACTGGATCAACCAGTAAAGCACAAATCCTTTTGTTTGCCCTAAAGTTATTCTCCGTGGTGAACGAAATAAATTACCTAAGGTGGAAAGTCTTAAAACAAGATCCCAGCCAAAACTGGTGCTTGATCCAAGAGGAAGGGTGAATAAACCCCCTAGCAGGAAGCCAGGAGGTTTATCAAGGTCTTTTCTGTTTTTGGAAAAGCTGGTTTTCATTAAAGAAGGAACTAGCACCAGCTCTCCCTTCCCTCGCCCCAGTAACTCACAACACACCATCCCCATCTCCTTCATTGCCAGTTTGCGCTAATAAAAAGCAGAATCGTGCCTAAGAAGGGGAGGGGAAGCCCCATATTGTACAAAGATGGCCCCTCTGCACAGGCAAGCATCACAGGCACATTAGCCAGGACTTAAACCCGTGCCTACAGATTTCTGTTGCTTGCCTGAAAACAAGACAGGTCTTGTGATAGTTTTTGTGCTCTTCTTGAAACAAAGTCTCCCAGTGACTGCAAGTGGAATCCGATGACAGCCAGTCATGAAGTGGCCACTTTAAAACATACCATGTGGAGGCTCTGATTGCATAGAGAGGTGATCGTCTGTCGTTTCTGGCCGTGATGTGAAGGGGGAAGGGATGGGGTGGGATAATGTTTGCTTTTACCAGTGGCTACAGATGACCACCACCCACTGCGAGGAAAGTAAGTCATTAAATGACCAGTGATGATCCATAAAGTGTGCAATGCATGCATCATGGCAGGGACAGGAAGAGGATAGCAAAGCAGCTCAAAAAGCCCCCCCAAAAAAGGTGTAGCTATATTAGGTAGTAGTAGAGAAGCAACTTGGCAGGCTTAAGTTTCTGCTTCTGAACATACTGAGCAGCCTGCACATCATGAAAGTCAGAAAGCAAAGCTATGAGGCAGGGAATGCAAGGATGAGTTGGCACATGGACATCCGGATTGTATTATGAAGTGATGGCATTTGTAAATAAAGAGCCATCACATATCATCTGCTTCCATATCACCTGACATTGCCTCCAAGTGCAAATGATGAGATATTATGTGATGTCCACAACAGTGGCGGAGCTTCATGCTCCGGCGCTGGGGGAGGGGCAGAAAGCAAGCAGGGTTGGGTCTGGCGTGCATCCTGGGAGTGTGGCACGCCGCCTGCGGGGCTGTGGCACCCAGCGTGGGCGGGGGTGTAGCTGCAATGGCACCCCACCGGGATCGTGCTGCCGGGGGCGGTGCACTCCCCCCGCACTCCTCTTCCTCTGCCAGTGGTCCACAAACATGCACATCAATCCTAAGACAACGGAGATGCAGAGACAGGCAATATGCAATGATATTTGCATCAGGTTCTCTCCTTCTGCAGAAGTCCTTTTGGGATTCAGAGGCCCATTTTGAAGAAATAAAGCCCAGATTCTCCCCCCTCCCCAATCCTGCTTCTCTCTCACACACAAACTCCAGTTGATATGTGTGTGGAATGAGGTCTGCTCATGCAATAGGACTTCATCATCCCCTGCATTCCCTAACTCTGCTCTGGAGGGTTGGGGGAGGCCTCAGAATAGGCTTAGGTAGTGTGGGGTGTGGGAGGAGGAGAGGCGGAAGTCCTGTTACACGAGCGGGCCTTATTCCCCCCCCCCCAGTGCTACACTGAATTCCACCCTCAATCCCCTTTCTGAACTCACAGGGGCACAGGCAAACAGCATGGTACTTACCTCGCCATCGCTCCCGGACCCGGGCTTCCCCCACCCCCAGCTCCGCAAGCTCCAGGAGCGATGGCGAGGTTGCACAACCTTGCCTTTGCTCCCGGACCCCCAGCCCCGAGGCTAAAAACGAAGCCAGGACAGCTAGCGGGATCCATCCCGCTCGCTGTCATGGCTTCTTTGCTCTTTGGAGCTTGGGGGGGAAATAATTTCCCCCCCTTTATTTCCCCCCCCCAAAAAATAAGTGCACCCTATGAGCCGGTGCGCCCTATAGGGCGAAAAATACGGTATATAAGCACCATTCAGGAGGGCATGCCTTATTTCTACGCTTCCTACAGGTTGAATTGTATCTGGATTTAGTTGTGTTTTCAATCGGCCTACTGTGAAACCAGTTGGACTTGAGTTAGGCATGTTTTTATGACCAAGACTGTTCCCAACTCACTATATGTTCCATTTCCCCATTCAAAGATGTATGTTCAGTGGATTCCTGTAAAGAGATCCCATAATTCTCTTCTCTCCATTGTGCTTTGCCTCTAGGAAGTGGAATGGGTCATACTCTGGATTCATTTACATGTTTCTCTCTTTCTCCCTCTACGGGTCCATAAATATTTTCTCTCATTACTTTAACATTTCTTTCAGCGAGAATAAAGACAACCGTTTGCCAAATGGTATCTTGTTGCAATTCATATGCAACCACACTGGACTCCTTAACTTCTGCCTATATCACAAGGGAGTTCGCCATCACAAATGGCAGCCCATTGCCATGCAGTATTAGCCTGCTGGTGATGGGGACCCAGATGGGCATGCTGATGTCATGCTATTAGCACTTCATGCAAACAAATGGTGCATATTGCAGATGCATTTAAATGTGTCAAGGCATGTGTGAAACATTTACATGGGTAAGCATTTTGGCATTGCCCTGTGTCATGCATAAATCAGGCCTTGGGAAGAACAGAACAAGAAGTCTGTTAAATGGAAGTAATCGTGCATTGATGCCTGGCCTCTCTGTTGTATTCTTCCTCCGATAACTTTGCAGGCCTTTGCATATGTTAATAGTCCGATGCTAACTGTTATTTGTAGTATGACTATTTATAGATGTGAAACTGCTTGCCATGGGGTTTGGAATGAGAGCATCAGGGATTATTTAGAATGTCTGGCTGGTGGTGCATTAAACTGCAGGGAGTGCAATGTCCAGTTCAGGGTTACTGCTTTTGCCTCTTTTGAAACAGTATGCTGCCTGACACATGTAATGAAAGCTCAGAATCTCCCATCTCCTGAACATGGAGATAAAGAAAAAATCTAAAAGCCATGTCAGAGAAGCAAGGTGGAAGACCATTCAGGGTCAAGACCGTGCTTTTAGTTTCCTACTCTGGGAATAAGATCCTGCGTGATCTGAGTCATACAGTTCTCCATGTTGTCCGGGTGGGAGTGACAAGTTTTCCCTCCCTTGCAGGGTGATTTGGGGTAAACATGTTGAGGATTGCAAAACACTCACATACTACGATGCTTAAAACTAACAGAGTGAGGAGCTCTCAAAGTAACAAACATGGATCAGCTTTAATAGGCTGCACCTGGAACATCTCTCTCAACCTACTATAGACGTTTTGTACAAGCAGAGGCATTAAGGCTTGGGCAGAGGATTCGGAAGCCAGCTATGGGTTCTTCCCATTTGTTTGCCATTCCTCCTTCCTTGGCAGTAAGATCCATTCATAAGCTGCCTTCTGTTTGTGAGCTGTTCACTCTGCCATCTTGCAAATGTCTGCTTGCAACTCGGTGTCAGCATTCAGCCACGTTATCTTTGCTTATTGGTGGGGTGACCAAATGCTTTAAAGTGGGAGACGAAGCAATGACAAACTGCCAGGAGAAGTCACTTGCAGTTCAGTTTTTCAGGATACAGTAATCATTTGTTCTAACGTTTGTGAGCCATTCTGGATTCATAAACATTTTCTCTTGCTACCAGGAGGTTATCCAAGTGCAAGCAGCCCCAGTTATATGACTCCACAGAGACCACCAGCAGGGCCTATTCAGATGGCCTGTTTGCTAATATATTTACAATTCTGTTTTTCATTAGCCCAAAAATGTATTTGATGCTGTCCCATTTTTAGAAAAAATTATAGTCCAAAGTGCAAAACATGTTTTAAAGTGTCATTATCCATCAGAGTGACCTCCGAACAGTACATGACGACTTTCTCTTTGCAGCTTATTTTGCAGTTCAGTATTGCCGTCATCCCTATGTGAGATGTCAAATGACAAGGTCCATAAACCTGTTTTATTGTAAACACCAGCATCCTGTCTCAGTCATTTTGAAGGTTTGTTTAAAAAAAGAAAAGAAAAAAGAGCCAGGGCCCATCTAACTCACCAATGCAACTATTGCACCCTGGTGCTCTGCAAATGTTTTTGACTACAACTCCCATCATCTCCAGCTGGCTGGGACTGATGGGAGTTGTAGTCCAAAGCACCCAGCGGGCACCAGCTTGGAGGAGACTGCACTAATGTTATGGTGTTTCTGAAGCAAGCAGACCCGCTTCCAAGCATGCCAGAGGCAAATGGGGAAATGCAACTTTATTATTATTATTATTAAAACCTTTTGCTGTCTCTTTTCAGCACTACTACAAAATCCTGCTTGAAAGGCAAGCCTGAAAGTTCAAATTGCCATGTTTTAAACAAAACACAGTGTTTTATTGTACTACACTTCTGAAATGGGATCTGAACGCAGGAATTTTTAGACCTCTGGAGGTTTAAGGTATAGAAATGCTGGCTCCTTTACTAACCAGACCTAAGGGTTTTTGTACTCCCGCTCCCTTGTATGACAGAGAAAGCAGAGGCAGTCCACAATGAAATTTCAGTTTAAATGATCTGTTTTATTTGCGCGCTCTCTCTCTCTCTCTCTCTCTCTCTCTCTCTCTGTGTGTGTGTGTGCAGATTCTCTTTTTTGTCCCTTCAGAGTTTGAAAAGGAAATTAGAAACCCTTGTTTCCCAAAAGTTGCCTCAGTTACTTTGCAGAATGTGTCAACATGAGTAATGATAGCAAAGGATCTGCCAGGAGGACCATAGGAAAAGCACACACAAAGCTGCAGCCCTCCAGCAGCTATACATAAGGTATGCCTTTGCTTGAAAAGTTCTACCACAGGGATGGGTTACAGATATAAAAACAACCCTATGCAGAAATTAATAGGAAAACACTGTCCTGGGGTTGGTGTGCTTTTGTTATTTGTTTGTTTGGATAGGCCTAACAAACAAATTCATTGGCAAAATCATCCACACATAAAATTTTGGATACCTCCACAATATCCTCCCTTTCTGACCCTTCCCCTCCAAACTTAGAAGTCCCAAATGTTCTAACCTACTTTTAAAGGGGAGAAGCTCAAGTGCCTTGATCAGTTTGGCCACTCTTTTTCACAATATCCTTTTTGAGGTGTGCCAACCAGATTCTTACACAGTGTTCCAAGTGCCATCTCACTTGCCAGGGGTGGGTTTTTTCAGACACACCTTTCATCCAGGCAATCAAGAGGTATTATCACAGATCAAGGATGCAGGTAACACAATTAGAGAAGGGTACAGAGTAGGATCAGTGTGGTCAGGGTGTGCATGGCCTGGACAGAGCCTGAAGGGCTGGAGAGAGAGGGCTAGAGGGCCACATTCAGCCCCCAAGGCTAAGGTACTGTCAACTGTCATGACAGAAAACTCTAGACGACACCTAGTCATCTCTTTAACAACTCTCAGGAGCCCAGAACAGAACTTATTGGAGGCAGAGTCCTCTAGCAACTGCAGCCCTGAAGAGGAGACTGATACAAACATCGGAAGAGCCCCGCTGGATCATACCAATGGCCCACCTAGTCCAGCATTCTGTTCTTGCAATGTCCAACCAGATGACCCGCCTCCTAGTCACCTGGGAGACTCTTTTTGTGTGCATAACAACTGACCCACAAGTTCAGTAAATAATTACAATGCTTATTATCATGACTAAAATCTGTCCCATGTAGGTCAATGAACACCAGAGCTGATCTCCTTGAGCCCTGAGTGGACACATCTGTTGCCAGACTCTGACAGCTGATCCACAGTCTTCTCAGGGGATCAACAGAGCCCTGAGGAGAGATTCCCACCCCGCCAAGCTGGAAACCTCATGACCCGAAAAGAGCCAACAACTGCAGAAGAAGTTGTCAGCCCTTTAGCTGGCCAGGAGGCAGCACTTTGGGGGTGGTGGTGTCAATGATTCCCCAGCCCTGGAATAAACCCCAGTCAGTTGCTGAGACAACCTAAGACACTTGGGCTCAGCAGAAAGAGCACCATCCATGGTCCTGAACCCCACCTCAATCTCCCTCCAAGGTGCTGACTGCCTAGCCTTCCTTTGCCTTGCTGCCCTGCATTTCTGATAACTACAGTGGTGCCCCGCAAGACGAATGCCTCGCAAGACAAAAAACCCGCTAGACGAAAGGGTTTTCCGTTTTTTGATGCGCTTCGCAGGATGAATTTCCCTATGGGCTTGCTTCGCAAGATGAAAATGTCTTGTGAGTCTTGAGATTTTTTTCGCTCCCCCCCCCTTTTTCTAAGCCGCTAATAGCCTTTTAGCCACTAAGCCACTAAGCCGCTAAGCCTTTAATAGCCGCTAAACCACTAATAGCGCTAATCCGCTAAGCCGCTAATAGGGTTGCTTCACAAGACGAAAAAACCGCTAGACGAAGAGACTCGCGGAACGGATTAATTTCGTCTTGCAAGGCACCACTGTACCAATCTCCTCTTGCTCAGGCTATCATGCATCCTTGGTAGTGACTAATAGCTGCCAGACTATCTGCTTCTCGGCAGAATGCCAGCAGCAGAACCCCTCTACATTGTATCTTCCAGGCTCCAGTTAGATGTCAACTCAGTTACCTATTTACAAACCAAACCATGTTTTAATGACAGCATTCTTACATTTAAATTTCCACCAACAATGTTACAGTTTCTTCTTGTGCCCCAACAGTCACTCAGCATCCCATGCTCAGCCCTCATTAGGGAATTTGGGGGGGGGGTTTCCAGCCCTTGGGGTTTTCCTCTGAATATTTGTGTGTGTGCACACGCTTTTGCAAACCTCAAGGCTGATACCTCCCCCTTGCACACTGGGTGGAGTGATGCTGACTGTTTTGGCTACATAAGCATAGTCACTCTATCTTGAAGGACTGAAAATAGCCTAAGTGCTTAAGTTTCTTAAGCTGGAACCTGGCATTGCAGAAATGGTGCAACTGCTGACAGAAGCAGTAGCCATCACCTTCTCCTCAATTCCCCATACAAAGGACATGAAGGGACATCATTTCACTGTCCCACTACATTCTTGTAAGTTTCATTTGTAGGGAAATGCACACCATGGTTATGTCACATTTTGTAGTTCTCTAGGGGGAAGAAAGGAAGAGACATGCATGCAGTTTCTTTAATGACATCTTGGTCTGGTCTTTGTGAAGCAATGCAGCAGTGGCCATTTATGTGACTAGCCAGTTCCCATCTCTTACATTTGTATTGCTGAGGCTCTGGTGATTTTATTATTATTATTATTATTATTATTATTATTATTATTTATATCCCGCCCTCCCCAGCCAAAGCCGGGCTCAGGGTGGCTAACAACAATCAAATAATCAAACAATCAAATAATCCAACAGTCTAAAAACATTTCATTATAAAAATTAATTAAAATCAAATTAATGGCAACCGTTGAGCAAAATTCTGTGCAGGTTGCCAGAGGAGGGAGTCAGGCTGGGCCCTGACCAAAGGCCTGGTGGAACAACTCTGTCTTGCAGGCCCTGCGGAAAGATGTCAGGTCCCGCAGGGCCCTAGTCTCTTGTGACAGAGCGTTCCACCAGATTGGAGCTGCAGCCAAGAAAGCCCTGGCTCTAGTTGAGGCCAGCCTAACCTCTCTGAGGCCTGGGACCTTCAGGATGTTTTTATTTGCAGACCGTAGGTTCCTCTGTGGGGCATACCAGGAGAGGCGGTCCCGTAGGTACGAGGGTCCTAGGCCGTATAGGGCTTTAAAGGTTAAAACCAGCACCTTAAACCTGATCCTGTACTCCACCGGGAGCCAGTGCAGCTGGTATAGTACCGGATGAATGTGATCTCGCAGCGAAGACCCCATAAGGAGTCTTGCCACGGCATTCTGCACCCGCTGGAGTTTCTGGGTCAGTCTCAAGGACAGCCCCATGTAGAGCGAGCTACAATAATCCAGTCTGGAGGTGACCGTCGTGTGGATCACAGTGGCTAGGTCAGGGCGAGAGAGATAAGGGGCCAACTGCTTAGCTTGGCGGAGATGAAAAAATGCTGCCTTTGTTATAGCTGTAATCTGCGCCTCCATAGAGAGGGAGGTATCGAAGATTACACCCAAACTCTTAACGGACGGTGCTGGCACTAATTGCACCCCCGCAAGAGATGGGAGTTGCCCCCCCCAATCCCATATCGTCCCGTCCCAGCCAGAGGACCTCTGTCTTCGAAGGATTTAACTTCAACCGGCTTCCACGTAACCATCCAGCCACAGCTTCCAAACATCTGGTCAGTGTGTCTGGGGCCGAGTCAGGATGGCCATCCATCAACAGATAGAGTTGGGTGTCATCGGCATACTGATGGCAACCCAGCCCAAAACTCCGGACAAGCTGGGCGAGGGGGCGCATAAAGATGTTAAAAAGCATCAGGGAGAGTATTGCACCCTGAGGCACTCCACACACCAAGGAGTGGCGCGATGACAATTCCCCCCAAGCGCCACCCTCTGTCCCCGTCCAGAGAGAAACGAGCGCAGCCATTGAAGGACTGTGCCCTGGATCCCCACGTCGGCAAGGCGGTGGTCCAGGAGTTCGTGATCGACCATGTCGAAGGCTGCTGACAGGTCTAGAAGAATCAGCAGCCCCGACCCGCCTCGATCCAGCTGCCTGCGGAGATCATCTGTTAGGGCGACCAGAGCCGTCTCGGTCCCATGACCAGCGCAGAAGCCAGACTGGAATGGATCCAGAGCCGATGTTTCATACAGAAACCTACCAAGCTGTTCAGCAACCGCTCTCTCAATCACCTTACCCAGGAATGGAAGATTCGAAACCGGGCGGTAATTGGATAGATCTAAGGGATCTAATGATGTTTTCTTTAAGAGCGGGCGCACCACTGCCTCCTTCAATTCCCCTGGAAATATCCCGGTGCCAAGGGACAAATTGATGATATCCCCCAGGGGGGCCCGCACCTCGTCTGGACACGCTCTAATCAGCCAAGACAGGCACGGGTCAAGAGGACAGGTGGTGGGCTTTCCAGCTCGGAGGAGTCTGTTCACATCGGCTGGGGATATCCGGTCAAAGTGGTCCAATACTGGACCTGAGGACAGTCGAGGGGCCTCCAGTTCCTTTATTGTATCCAAATTGGCAGGGAGGTCATGGCGGAGCAACAGGACCTTCTCTGCAAAAAAGCTCACAAATGCCTCACAGCTGTGTGTCAGATTGTTATTTAAATTTGGCTGTCCTTCAAGGGACGTTAAAGACCTAATTATACTAAATAATTGCGCCGGGCGAGAGCTAGCGGATGCAATGGAGGCCGAGAAGTAAGACTTCTTAGCGGCCTTCACTGCCATCTCATAGGTTTTCATAAAAACCCTATAAGATGTTCTTGAGGCTCCGTCACGGGCACCCCGCCATACTCGCTCTAGCCGTCTGAGGTCCCGCTTCATTTTCCGAAGCTCCTCAGTAAACCAGGGAGCCTGGTTTCTGCGGAGTCGCAAAGGGCGCTTAGGTGCGATCTCATCTATGGCTGCCAGGAGCTGGATATTCCAGCCCTCAACAAGCTCAGTCAATGAGTCGCCAGGGGGAGCAAAGTCCCGCAAGGCTTGACGGAATCTTTCAGGGTCCATCAGCCTCTGCAGGCGAGCCCAAATCGGCTCGCCACCTAAGCAGAGTGGGGGTGGAAAGTCAATCCTGGCTTTCAGAGCGTAGTGATCAGACCATGGCACCTTCATCGAAGGAGACATGATCACATCTATACCTACACCAAAGATCAAATCCAGCGTGTGGCCTGCCTGATGTGTGGGGCCTGAAACAAACTGGGAGAACCCTAGTGTCACCATGGAAGACACCAGGTCCAGAGCCTGTGAGGAGGGAGTGGCATCAGCATGGATGTTGAAGTCCCCCAATACCAATAGGTTAGGGAACTCCAAGGCCCAGCCAGCCACCGCCTCCAGCAGGCCTGACAGGGTGGCTGCTGGTGCGCTAGGTGGCCGGTACACCAGCCAGACAGCCAAGCTCACCTCAGAGCCCCACACTAGGCCAACACATTCAATGCCGGGGATCGATGGCGATGGTAGAGCCCTGAAAGAACAATCTTCCCGGATTAATAATGCCACCCCTCCCCCCCGGCCCACAGTCCGTGACTGGTGGAGGACGGAGAAACCCGGGGGCGCCATCTCTCATAAGGTAACTGTTGCCCCTTCGCGCACCCAGGTCTCCGTCACACAAGCCAGGTTGACCCCCTGCAAGGTAAAGAAATTTCGCAGAGTGGCGGTTTTGTTGCCTATAGACCTGGCATTGCACAACACCAGTGATGGAGGTGAGTAATCCTTGCTCACCCTACCCTTGTCCCTCGGGATGGGGCGCAGATTGGAAGGGATACGAGCATATCCGTATCTCGACCCCCTTTGCCTATAACATCTGCCCCCTCCACCATACCTCCCTCACCCCTCCACGGTAGCAATCCCAAGCCTCATACAAGCCTCCATTTACAAAATAGAAAAACAAACCAAACCAAAAACAATTATACCTAAACAAAACCAATCCCCACCCCAAACCACAATAAAACGGAACAAAATAAAAATACATAGATAAAAACCACTGTTCACGGTGGTACAACAAAGTAAAAAGTAAAAACACCTTTAAAACACTTTAAAATATATAAAAACATTTTTTAATGATTTAAATACTGCATTCAAATCATTCTTCCTTGTTTAGATACTTTCAAGAGAAGTGTTTGCCCCAAGACAGCTACTTCACATGCCCCAAAATATATTTTAATAAGGAAATTCTCTCATCGTAAAGTTAAACACTCTGCTACCGCTGTCCTGCTCTGCCGGCCACAGAGCACTTTGCCACTGACCATCAGATCAATAATAACATATTTCCAAAGTATTCAAGTGAGAACACAGTGATGCCTTTCATTGTAATCTGCAGAGATTCAGAAAGCCCATGTGTCTTCAGGCAAAGAAAGAAAAAGGATCAACCTTTTTACTGCTGCATAAAAATATAATGGTAATAATACCAAGGAAATTAAATTTCATCAAACTGTGTTACAGTGACATTATGAGTTTGTCTTCAAACCACAACAAGCATGGTAATGCAGTCATTCCCATTGCTTTCCTGTCCTTAACTTGCCCTGTGTTGCTTGAGGTAAGGTAAGGACAGAGTTACAGCAATGTACCACTTTAATTTCTTGAGGCTTCCTACTCTCAACTATCCTTTTATCAACACTTCTCAGGCTAGTGAACAAGACATGTTGCTTTCTTGACAAATGCCAAGGGACATCCCTTTAGTAAAATATTGATAGCTGAGGAGTGTATTCGCATGTTGAGCGCTGCCTTCAGTTTACTGCTATCCATGTTGGAATGTCTTTTCCCTCGTTGCTGCCAGAGAATAGGCATGCGTGTACACACAAACTTCATTTGTGAAATAGCAATTATGAGCTTGCCTTGAAGCAGGAAACCCTACATGTGTAGTGCAGTCCTAAAAGTATGTCATTAGGAAGGAAGCGCTACTGAATTCAACAGGGTTCGCTCCCATAACATAAGATTGATGTGCCAGTGTTGTATCCATTCCATGCACTTGCATGTGGAATTTGGTATTTGGAGAACAGAAACTGGCACCTTGGGTCTTCCAACTTCAGGACTTATCCCCATTTTAAAGCAAACATTTGAAGGACCTTGTGGCTGTGAAGAGACACTTGAGAAAACGCTGCATCGTTTGTAGATAGGGTTGCATCCTCCTACACAAAGTCAAGCGGGCATAAGCCCATGAGGATAAAGGGCTCAGGGGACGGAAGGTGGGCTTGGGTGTTCACTGACCAACATGGGACAGATTTTTATCTTGATGATGATTATTTATTAAATTTATGTACACTTAATCCAAAGATCTTAGGGTGGTTCACAAGATAACAACTATTGAAATTATTTATTGATCTTGTTGGTCATTTGTCTCTCTCTCTCTCTCTCTCTCTCTCTCTCTCTCTCTCACACACACACACACACGTGTCTCTCAAGTGACTAGGAGTTTTAAAAACCCTGAACATGATCCTTCCATTCACTCCCCACATCATTTGTGGAAAGGGTGATCAATAATTTCTACTTGTGATGTCTGTATCATGGCTACTCTTCAACTTCAAAAGAAGACAGGAATACGGATGAGGCAATGCTCAGGAAACCATCACCTCCCATTCCAGGACCCTCTGGGCTGGGGTATGTGGCCTTTCCGGACTCCTTGGAATCAGAAGTTGCATTTCCAAAACAGTCCCCACCAGACCCATGTTGTAGGAGTGAAATGCTTTTTACAAACAGAGGCTGTTCTTCATAAGGAGTGAAGCTAACAGCAAATGCAGACCAGTCAGCCTTCAGTAGGCCTCATCACTCTGCTGAATCAACAGCTCTGCTTTTGGGAGAATTCTCCAGCCACCACCTTCTTCAGTGTGCTATCCAAGGTCCTGATACCCACCGCCTTGCTCTCTTTGATGCGATTCTGCTCTACCTGAAGTGCTGTTGCTACATTCTGCTTCTTCTGAGCTTTGAGCCTAGATAGGGCAAACCTCATCTAGCAGACAAACTCTGATTGCACCATACTGAGGTAGCAGCAGAATCCCTCTTTAGCCAGTATATGCAGTATGAAACACCATCCCTCAAATCACAGTACATGATACACCGTATCAACCTAAAGGCAGTGGCTTTCACACACAAACAAAGTATTGTGCTTACAATCTTGTGTGACGCAAATAACACTTCATTCGCAAACTATTCCAACCAAGCCATATGTTTTAAATGTGAATGAAATGTTAACGTTATCTTACCAAGTTTGCGATTTGTCATGTCTGGGAACAGTTTCAGATGATACCATAAAGAAGTGTAAAAGCCTCTTCTGCCTCTGGCAGGAATATAGGTCACAGACACAGTCTGTGCAAGCAGGATTTATGATTCAGATCCTAGCTTCTCTTTTTCTCTTCCTGCTCTTTCCCTACCTACCAAGGAAGCAAAGATACTCAGAATGGATCCTTGCTATTGATGAGTAGCGACAAACCCTGAGAGGGGAAAGTGGTGGTTTTAAACACTGGCAGAAGTTTGAGTAAAGTAGGGAGGGAAGAATGCAGAGAAAGGGGAAGTCATTTTAAACAACGGGAGAGGTTGGAATAAAACAAAGATGATGGGACACTGAGAGGAGGGAAGTAGAATCATAGAATCATAGAATCATAGAATCATAGAGTTGGAAGAGACCACAAGGGCCATCGAGTCCAACCCCCTGCCAAGCAGGAAACACCATCAGAGCAGTCCTGACATATGGTTGTCAAGCCTCTGCTTAAAGACCTCCAAAGAAGGAGACTCCACCACACTCCTTGGCAGCAAATTCCACTGTCGAACAGCTCTTACTGTCAGGAAGTTCTTCCTAATGTTTAGGTGGAATCTTCTTTCTTGTAGTTTGGATCCATTGCTCCGTGTCCGCTTCTCTGGAGCAGCAGAAAACAACCTTTCTCCCTCCTCTATGTGACATCCTTTTATATATTTGAACATGGCTATCATATCACCCCTTAACCTCCTCTTCTCCAGGCTAAACATGCCCAGCTCTCTTAGCTGTTCCTCATAAGGCATCGTTGGTGGTGATGCTGTTGGTGGTGTTGGTGGTGTTGTTTTAAAAAAACAAAACAAAACCCAGCAGAGGGTTGAGTAGAGCAAGCATTGGGTGACACTGAGGGAGGAAAGTGGCAGTTTTAAACAATGTTTGAGGTACAGTAAATAAATAAATAAATAAATAAATAATTTTAGCTTCTTTGTTGTACCCATTTCTGCTATTTCTCCTTCTTAAAATGGCTTTATTTTCTTTAAAAGCATGCTCTCAGTGTCCCTCCACCCATCACTTTACTCAAGCTTCTGCTGTTGTTTGAAACACTCCCCTTTTCCCTTTCAGTGTCACTCCCTTCTCGTTGTACTCAAACCTCTCCCTCTTCCCGACCTCAAAAGTGACAGAGATAAAGAATGCAGGGCCCTCAAATATTCTACAGTACCTTCACACAACGTATTCCACTGCTGGTATCATGTGTTGTCGGCAACATGTAGGTCCAGATTCTATGTAGTAAATTAGAACAGATAATTTATTAATAAGCAAACATATATGTACAACATCCAGTGTTCTAGCTGCTCAATTGATACGTAGCATGCAGCTACATAGCAAGTTTATGCTTATTTAATTACAGGCACAGCTGGAAAAGGGATCCTCATTGGACTGCAGTGTGCTTATCACATTGCTCTCCAGCACTATCAGAACGAACCCTCCTCAAGCAGCTAGAAGGCTTAGTGAACAAATCCCCATTGGTGCCAGTACTGCCTGGTAGCCTGCAGTGCTCTACTGACAATGATCATATGATACTTCAGATCTTTCCTTTGTGTTCTGCAAGCTTGGAAAGCTCTTGTGAACACCCCCCCTCCCCAAACTGCTGGCCTTCCAGAGACTCATGCCTGTGGCTTACTGGTGCATAGAACTGTGTATTGTGTGCATAGTCCTCTTCTCCACCTCCTCTCCAATCCCACAGCTCCTGAAGAGCTGAATTGAGTCATGGATGATTTTACCTACTGGAAAACAAACCAGGCACATCCCAAGAGAGCCATGCTGAAAGCACACAAACAGCATGCCATTTGTATGATGTTAGAGAAGCGTTTGGGTGGGTGTGAAAGGACTCAAAGACTCCTGGATGCTACAGTGTGGATTTTTTAAAAAATAAAAAAGACACAAGAGTGGTGTTTCCCGAATGCTGTGCTGTAACATCCTGGCACCTAACCTGGCAGACACTCACAACACACTGGAGTGTCGCAGCAAACAATGTCTTTTCCCCTTGAGTCCAGAACATCTCATGAGACAAGGTTGAGAAGAGGACAGGAGTGTGTTCATGAGACGGGACTCATGAGTCCATTATCCCCCCCCCCCAGGCCAAGGTTGATCTTTTTAGTGTGCTGCCTGGTCTTGTCATTCATCCAACACACCTCCAGTGTGTACCAAGAAGATCATGGCTCAATACCTCTTGGCTCAAGCCAAGGGTTTTCTGGGAAGCTGCAAACACAGAAGTCTGAGGATGCATTCACAGGGCTGGCTGCCACTCCAGAGAAACTCAATGTATGTTGAGATCATGTCCACTGAACAGGCATAGAGGAGTCCCACACCCACTGGCTTCTGCCCCTCTCTTATACACAATGTTTGGGAGTCTATCCTATCCCCTGCCCCTCTCCTAGCAGTTAAGGGCCTAGTCACACTATTCTTTTGACGGGGCAAAGCAACATTAGCCCTCTGCACATCTTGCAGTCATGTACAGAGCATGCATAGAGCAAGGATAGAAACTTCCCTCCTTTTGTCAGTTCAGCATCTGGTAAAATAGCATATATGGATATAAAAGGCATCTGCATGAGCTCTTCACAGGTTGAGAACCCTGCAAAAACAGGGCTCCCCATCACATCTCCACAGCTTGTGTGTACAGTTTCTAGGTGTAAAGATGCTTTCATGAGATATGTGCTCAATCTGAATAAGGAAGGGAGAGCAGAGTGAAATCTCCTCTCTCCCTCCCCCATCCCATTCAATAGGTGTACAGTGTACACAACTGTAGTATGTAAACAGGGTTAATGTTGCTTCACCATATATATAGAAGTATAAACAGGTTATACTCCAAACTACCAAAAGAAGAACAGGGGACAGATTAGACTCCAAGATGTTAAGCAGTATGGGTGGCTGGCTAAGATTTTGGATGGACATGTTACAAAAATATGGAACCTGTGATATGTAGTTTGCTTTATGACAGAATATATACCCACTGGACCACCAAAACCCACCCATCCAACATTTGACTCAACTTCTGTCTGCAGTAGCAAGCATGGTTTTAGTTTTGCCCCATATCTGGCTGGAGAAGAGGCTGAATGAAAGTGCCAGGGGGGAAATAGAATGGGAGTTCCAATCATCATCCCTGCTCACTGCTTCTGGGCTTTTAAAGGGGACTGGCAAGCTCTCTTGTTTAGTACCAGTTACCATAGCAGCAAGTGATGGAAGGTTGTAGCTGGTGCTGATGTCACAGTCAGTTATTATCCTGGAATATTCAGGGGTTGTGGGGAGAGACTCTGCCTATTGTCAAAGCCCGATAATGACAGCAAATATAATTAAACAATAACAATTTCAAAAAACAACAACAATCAGAGCTTCCAGACTGCAATCAACCCTCAGATTGATGCTTGCTAAATGGAAAATAGGGTGTCATTTGTACTAAAACATGTCAGTGGTTTTGTACAGATTTGAGCTTCCTTAGATTGTATTCAACCGTAGGTAAATTATACATTATTTTGTAGGCTTTTGATCTATGTGATAAGCCTTTGTGTACAAAATAAAGGGAAGCCAGGAGACAAATAAATCAGCATCAGACCCCATTCTCTTACATCTCTGATCTGGTATGTGTGAGTTTTCCCAATGGAATCACTGTCAAGTATTTAATTGTTGGAAGGACTTCCTGTCCCTGTTTGTTTTACAACTGATCTGCTATCATTGGACTATAACAAAAGCTCCTTCTGCACTTAGGTAGGACATCGCTGAGCAAAAAAGGCTGGAGACTGAATTTAGGACCCTGTCTCACTTTGCAGCTGATTTTTTTTCTTGCCTAAATCTTTCCCATAGAATGACTGGACAAAGGGGCAGTCCCACTATGTGTGTTAATATGTTCCTAATTGCTCACACTTTCCCTAGAAAAAAATTGGCCTATTTCCCCTCTGATTGTATGGTACCTGACCGGTATAAGATAGCAGTAGCTAATTTATTTATTTTTATCATGTTATTCCATTCCATTAGGAATTACAAAAAAAACCCCAAACCCTTCCATGTTTCTTGTAAGTCCATGTGTCTTCCATTCTTTCATCAACTGGGGTTCCTTTTCTATTTTCAAAAAAGCCTGTTCGGATGGTCCTGAGCAATATGCCTTTGAGGGCCAACTGGGAGAAACTTACGACATCTTTGGACCATGTTAAGGGATGTGCAATTTGCTGTAACATGTAATCTTGAGATAAGAAATGACGCAGTTAGAGGCACTATAGTAAAACAGCAGCATATGGGGTTGATTTTCTTCCATAAGTTTCCATATGAATAAAGAGAATATGGCTCCCTTCCAGGAGATCAATCATTCTATAGGTCTTAACTGTTCAATTTCTAGGGTGCATATGATTCACGAACCGGGGGGATGGAAATCTAATGAGGTCAGTGGTGATGTTCCAGGCCTGATCCTCTTTTTCTAGTCATCCTAAGTTGTATATGTAGTTTTAAAATATTGCTTATGGAAGTCCATTTCACAACACCAGATATAGTCATTTTTCTTTATTCCTCCCTTTGCTTCCTCTATATCATACTCACAGAGCACCTAAGGAATAAAACTGGATGCATCAAGCAGCACAGGCTCTATTGACCAAAAGAAAGCTGCATGGCTGTCACTGAAGAGTGGCTCCTGGGGGGCTTGCTTTAGATTGCTCTGGGGCTCGAGCCAGCCTGCCTAGAGAGAGCTGTTCTTTTCTTTCAGCCTTTTTCCAATGCATGTTTCTGTTTGTAAGTTTAAAAGTCCCCAGGATTTGCTGCCTTTGAAGCACAGTCAAGCTGGCAGATGGAATCAGTCAGTACCTTCCACTCCAAAATCCTGGGAAGATGAAGCAAGATGAATGGTGGAAGAAGGGCTTGGGTTGTATGCATTTCATGGTGGAGAGATTGTCAGAAAAAACCTCTCTTGATCTCTTTGCCCCACTTATTCCAAAGGGGTACTGCCTAGGTATCAAGAAGAGGAAATATATGACTAGGATTTCCATGGAAGGAAAGGATCCAGGGAATTAATTGGTTTGTAGAATCAGGCACACAGATACCCGGCCATATGGTAATCCAAAGTCAAAGTCAAGAATGAAGGTGGCAGCAAAGATGGTTGGACTAAGATGAGCCTTTGAGACCCTTCTGTCTCTTCAATGATTCTACAAAATTTGCAAAGGTAGTGATAGTGATGGAGCATGATGGTGTCCTTTCCCCTTCCATAAGCTGAACCACAGCAAGCCTGTTGCATAATCACTTAGGCTACAGACCCGCTTATATTTCCAGAGTGGTAGAGTAACAGATTTTCCACTGCATGCTTAGGTGTAGAAGTGGTGGTTGTGAATTGTGTTAGCACTAATATTCAGAAGCAATGGGGAGTAGTTGCTGCAGAGCAAGTAATCTTTGCTACACGTAACAGCCTTCAAAACATAAACATCAAAGGTTAATCAGTGTATAGACACTTCTATGTTACATGCTTAATGTGGCTGAACATTATGTCTGTTTACATGAAACTTAATAAAATATACAGGAAAATGAAATACAAATGCACAGTAACTGTTGGCATTAGGAAAAACTACACATTCCATGCTGGTGCACAACTCTGATATGAGGAATACACATATGCAACAAATATTCCTGATGTGGACCTGAACTTTCCAGAACAAATGAATTCCCTAGTTCCACATCAGCAGGACTTAAACTAGATCTCTTCAATGAGATCTTCCAGCTTCAATGCCATTTTTCAGAATTTAGGACTACCTGCTGCAAAGAGTCATACCAGATCTACAAAGCACCATGCTTACTTGCAGATGACACCAAACTAGGAGGGGCAGCTAATGCCACAGAAGACAGAGCTGGGATTCAATATGGCCTTAACAGATTGGAGAACTGGGCCCAAAGGAACAAAATTAATTCCAGTAGGGACAAATGTCAGGTTTTACACTTAGGCAGGAACAACCAGCTGCACAAATATAAGATGGAGGACACCTGGCTTGCCAGTAGTACAAATGAAAAGGATCTAAGTGTCTTTGTAGACCACAAGCTTAACATGAGTCACCAGTGTGATTCAACAGGAAAAAGAAAAGAAAAGCTAATGCTAGTCTAGGCTGCATCAACAGATGTATAGCGTCCCAGTCATGGGAAGTCATAGTACCATTCTATCCTGCCTCAGTCAGACTACACCTGGAGTCCTGTGTCCAGTTCTGGGCACCACAATTTAGGAAAGATATTGACAAGCTGGAACAAGTGCAGAGGAGGGTGACCAAGATGATCAAGGGTCTGGAAACCAGGCCTGATGAGAAGCAGTTCAGGGAGTTGGGTATGTTTAGCCTGGTAAAGAAGAGACTGAGAAGAGAGATGATAGACATCTTCAAATAGCTAAAGGGACATTACATGGAAGATGGAGCAACCTTGTTTTATCCAGCTCTGGATGGTAGGACCCAAACCAAGGGCTTCAAGTTACAAGGAAGGAGATTCCAGCTAAATCTCAGGAAGAACTTTCTGGTGGTAAGAGCTGTTTGACAGTAAAGCAAACTCCCTCACAAGGTGGTGGACTCTCCTTCACTTGAGGCTTTTAAGCTAATATTGGGTCTGTTGTGGATACTTTAGCTGAGATTCCTGCATTGAAGGGGATTGGACTAGATGACCCTCAGGGTCCCTTTCCAACTCTACTACTCTATGAAAATGAAGCAATACAAATATTATCAAGAAGCAGAGCATAAACTACTTGACAAAATAGCTTCTTCTTCTTTTTTGCATTCACATCCTTGCAACCATGAATTGCATTCACCCTTGCCTGAAAGCAAAAGCAACTTCAGAGGAACTACAGACCGTTTCTCTTAGCAGATACACAGAATTAGGAAGCCTTCTATACCTGACCTTATCTGGAACTAGATGTGCCTCAGTGCTATCAGCCAAACTGAGGATGAATGATATGCTAAGATGCCAGCCAATGAGACCACCTACCTTCCAAACTTCTCAGTCATTTATTAGATCTCCACAGGCAAAAGGACATCTTTCTCGTGTCCCATCGTCTCCCTATGGCATTTCCATGTAGAGCACTACTGCCCTCCTGTGGTCAAGCAGAGGCTGATGTCTTCTGGGGAACCCAATAAACACCAACTGTTTCTTTATAGGTGATGGTTACATTTGTAAACTGCATTTTCTACAAACACATTGTGTTCAAAGTAGCTCATAGAAAATCCAAGTAGCGCACAAAAATGGTAATACTTAACAAATGTAACATTGACAGTTCAGCAATGAATAGTTCATTTAAACCTCTGTCCCACCCATCAGCCCCAGCCAGCATGGCCAGTGGTCAGGGATGATGGGAGTTGTAGTCCAACAACATCAGAAGGACCAGAGGTTCTCCATCCCTGATTTAAATCATGTTGAAAATGGACGGAAGCCTAAAGCACACCAGTAAGTCAATTACCCGTAACAGCATTTAATATGAATAACACCAACCCATACATGGGCATCAAGCAAGCCAATCAGCAATTCTTGTTAAGAGAACTATCAATAAAATACTTAGCCCAGGCCAAACAATCAGCAAAGGAGGAAAAGGATGCACAGCTGAAGAAAACAGCAGGCAAGCTAGGACAAGCCTACAATATCCTGAGACAAAAATGTGACCCAACCAGCCAAGTAGAAGCCTTGTGCTTCAGTGAAGCACACTATGCATGTGAGGGACAGAGTTCAAATAGGAGAGTTAGCAACCAGAATGGCCCATCTTAAGTGTGCAATATGCAAAAGAGGAGCCCATAAGGAAAAAAGGTAAGCACAACAATAATTTCCCTAGCTCATCAGCTGGGGAGCCATCTGCACTGTACATATAAACCAGTAACATACCATATTAAACAGTCATGGCTTCCCCCCCCAAAGAATCCTGGGAATGGCAATTTCTTAAAGGTTCTGAGAGCTGCTAGGAGGTCCCTATTCCCCTCACACAGCTGCAATCCTTTGAGTTTCTTGGGAAGAGGGATTGACTGCTAAACAATTTTGAGTGCTATAGCTCTGTGGGAGGAAATGAGGTCTCTTAAAAACTCTCAGGATGCTTAACGAACTACAGTTCCCAGGATTCTTTGGGGGAAATCATTGGCTTTCTGAAGCAGTACCATCCTGCTTCCAGTGTATAGTGCAGATGGGGCCTAGTTTTTACAGAAGAGCCATTTTAAAGAGCGGAGACCAAGTCCACTTCTCC